TCCCTTAAAAGAAAAGTCCCGTCCAGATGGCTTCACACCTGAATTTACCATACTTCATAAGAGAACTAGTACCTATCTTGCAGAAACTATTCACAACATCGAGAAGAACAGAAACCTCCCCGACACCTTTTATGAAGCGAATATTACTCTGATACCAAAACAGGAAAGGATGCAACAAAAAAGAAAACTACAGACCAATATCCCTAATGAATATAGATGCAAAAATTTTCAACAAATCTTAGCTAACCGAATCCAGACACTTATCAAAAAATAATCCACCACGACCAAGTGGGCTTCATCCCAGGGATGCAGGGATGGTTCAACATACGTAAATCTATAAATGCAATTCACCACATAAACAGAAGCAAAAACAAAGACCACATGATTCTTTCAATAGATGCAGGAAAAAAGCTTTTGACAAAATTCAACACCCTTTCATGATACGAACACTTAAGAAAATAGGCATAGAAGGGACATACCTAAAATGATACAAGCCATATATGACAGACCATAGCCAACATCATACTGAATGGGGAAAAATTGAAATCATTCCACTTAGAACTGGAACCAGACAAGGCTGGCTACTATCTCCACTTCTGTTCAACATAGTACTGGAAGTCTTGGCTACAGCAATCAGACAGGAAAATGGAATCAAAGGTATCCAAATAGGGGCAGAAGAGATCAAACTTCACTGTTTGCTGATGATATGATATTGTATCTAGAAAACCCCAAAAATTCAACCAAGAAACCCTGGAACTGATCAATGAATTTAGTAAAGTCTCAGATACAAAATCAATACACAGAAATCAGAGGCATTCATATACGCCAACAAAATCTAATTGAGAACCAAATCAAAACACTCAATTCCCTTCACAATAGCAACAAAGAAATTAAAGTACCTAGGGAATATACTTAACCAAGGACGTAAAAGACCTCTACAGGGAGAACTATGAAACACTGGAGGAAGGAAATAGCAGAGGATGTAAACAGATGGAAATCCAATACCATGCTCGTGGATCAGCAGACTCAATATCATCAAAAGTCTATACTACCCAAACTGATCTACAGATTCAATGCAATACCTATTAAAATCCCATCAGCATTCTTCACAGATATAGAAAAATAATTTTACGCTTCGTATTGAACCAAAGAAGACCCCGAATATCAAGAGCAATTCTAGGCAACAAAAACAAAATGGGAGGCATTAATATGCCAGATATCAAACTATACTACAAAGAGTGTAGTAATTAAAACAATATGGTATTGGCACAAAAATAGGAATATTGACCAGTGGAACAGATGTGAGAATCCTGATATAAAACCACTCCTCATATAGCCATCCTATCTTTGACAAAGCAGACAAAAACATACGCTGGGGAAAAGAATCCCTTTTCAATAAATGGTGCTGGGAAAACTGGATAGCCACCTGTAGAAGGCTAAAACAGACCCACACCTTTCACCTCTCACAAAAACCAACTCTATGCTGGATAACAGACTTAAACCTAAGGTATGAACTATTAGAACTCTGTAGAGAAAAGTTGGAAACACTTCCTAGACATTGGCCTGGGCAAAGAGTTTATGAAGAGTCCCAAAGGCAATCACAGCAGCAACAAAAATAATAAATGGACATGATCAAACTACAAACTTCTGCCACAGCCAAAGAAATGATCATGAAGTAAACAGACAACCTACAGAATGGAGAAAATTTTTGCATCTATGCACGATTAAGGACTGATAATAGAATATACTTGAAACTCACAAAATTAGGAAGAAAAAATCAAATAACCCCATTAAAAAGTGGGCAAGGATTGAACAGAAATTTTTTCTAAAGAAGACAGAAAGAATGGCCAACAAACATATGAAGAAATGCTCAACATCTCTAATCATCAGGGAAATGCAAATCAAAACCACAATGAGATATCACTTAACTCCAGTGAGAATGCTTTATCAAAAAATCTCCAAACAATAAATGCTGGCGTGGGTTGCGGGAGAGAGGAGGAACACTCTACACTGCTGGTGGGACTGCAAACTAGTTCAACCTCTGTGGAAAGCAATATGGAGATACCTTAAGCGATACAAGTGAATCTACCATTTGATCCAGCAATCCCATTGCTGGGCATCTACCCAACTGATCCAATGACACTCTACAAAAAGGACAACTGCACTCGAATGTTTATAGCAGCACAATTCATAATTGCAAGTCTGTGGAAACAGCCCAAGTGCCATCAATCCAGAATGGATTAATAAAATGTGGTATAGTGTATACCATGGAGTACTATTCAGCTCTAAGAAATAATGATTATAGCACTCTTATATTTTCCTGGTTAGAGCTGGAACCCATTCTACTAAGTGAAGTATCCAAGAATGGAAAAACAAGCACCAGATATATTCTCCAGCAAACTGGTATTAACTGAGTAGCACCTAAGTGGACACATAGGTACTACAGTAATAGGGTATTGGGCAGGTGGGAGGGGCGGGTATATACATACATAATGAGTGAGATGTGCACCATCTAGGGGATGGTCATGATGGAGACTCAGACTTTTGGGGAGGGGGGAAATGGGCATTTATTGAAACCTTAAAATCTGTACCCCCATAATATGCCAAAATAAAAAAAAAAAGAATATCTTAAGAATAAAAAAAATATAATGATCTCAAATATGTATACACCTAATAACAAGGTTTGAAAATACATTAAGTAAAACCTGACAGAACTCAATGAAGAAACTGACAAATCCAAAAAGGTTCAGCCTCCAGTTCTCCTCCGCAGCCTCCTCCCGTGGAGTCTCCCGGGGTCTCAGGTACCCCTCCTTCCGGCCCTTGTCCGCTCGCTGTATACTCATCTTCTTGCTTCTTTCCTCTAATTTCTGCTAGAATCTGTCTTTTCTGCAGAGACCTCTATCTAGCGGTGTTATTCGTCCGCCATCTTGCTCCGCCCCCCCTAGATCATTATATCTTTTGATGAATTAATCCCTTTATCATAAAATGCCCCCTTTTTGACCCTGTCATATTCCTTCTTCTGAAGTCAATTTTGAACTTAAATAGACTTTCTTTCTAAAGAGTTCTGCCTATCAAGGGTTTATGAGGTTCTCATAAGAATCAAACTAGAATTATAATCAAGATTGTATTGGATTGATTTATTTGGGGAGAAGTAATATCTTCAAAATATTGTCATCCCATCTAAGAACATAGAATGTCCCTTTATTCGAATTTTAAAGTTTTTTCTGTAGAGATCTATGTGTTCTTATTAATAACCTACATATTTTATATGTTTTTTTTTTCTTGTTGAGTAGGATCTATTTTTATGGTATTTTTCTAGTTGGCTTCTACTGGTATAAAAAATGGTCTCAAATTTTAGATTGATCTAACATCTGATAACTTTGCTAAACCCTCTTATTAATTCTAGTAGCTTATCCATTCTGTTTTCTACATATTAAATTTAGATGTCTGTGACATCCAATTGGAGGTATAAAATAGGTAGTTGAGTATACAAGTTAGGAGTTTCTGTTGTTTGTTTTTTCTTTCCCTCTACTTATTTTGGTTTAATTTACTCTTCTTTTTCTAGCTTTTTTAAGATGGAAGTTTATATTATATATTTTAGACTTCTCTTTCTAATACAAGTATTTCAAACTATGTATTTCCTTCTAAATACTATTTAAGCTGCATCCCTCAATTTTTGGTATGTTATATTTTCATTTTTTATTCCATTCAAAATATTTTATAATATTCCTTGTGATTTTTTTCGGACTCAGGAGCTGATTAGAAGTGTGTTATTTAATTTAACTTGAGTATACAAGTTAGGAGTTCAAGGGAGAGGTCTATGCTGGAGATACAAATTTTGGGATTGTAATATATAAATGGTACTTAAAATCATGTGATTGTGTGGTATAAGAGCACCAAGTAAGTGAATGTGGGTAGAAAAGAGAAGTGATCCCACAAGATGTTGGCAAGTTGAGGAGATGAGAAAGAACCATTAAAGAAGCAGCCAGTGAGGGGAGAGGAAAGCCAGAGTAGAGTGGTGTCCCAGAGCCAGGTGAAGAAGTGTTTCATTCATACACAGTCTAAATGTCGGCCTCCAGCAGCAGAAATAAATCCCTTAAAGATTGGTTCTTCTCCTACAGGCAGTGCAGTCAGAGGTTAAGAGCAAGGACTCTGTAGCCTTCCCTCTGAATGTGTCATGCCTGGCTCTACCACATCCTAAGTCGGTGGGCTTGGGCAAGTTACTTAACTCTGTGTGCCTTAGTCTCGTCTGTTAAGTAAGGATAATGGTATTACTGATCTCATGGAGTTTAACAATTTAAGTGAGTTAATTCATATAAAAGTTTTTATAACAGTGTCTGGCATATGGTAACCTCTCAGTAAATATTATTTATTTGTATTATTATGGTTGTTTTTGTATCAGCAGTATCTATCACAATGTCTGATACAATTAGTGCTTAAAAATATTTCTTGCTCAAGGTCAGGAGTTCGAAACCAGCCTGAGCAAGAGCGAAACTCCATCTCTACTAAAAATAGAAAGAAATTAGCTGGACTACTAAAAATATATAGAAAAAAAATTAGCCGGGCATGGTGGCACATGCCTGTAGTCCCAGCTACTTGCGAGGCTGAGGCAGAAGGATTACTTGAGCCCAGGAGTTTGAGGTTGCTGTGAGCTAGACTGACACCACAGCACTCTAGCCCGGGCAACAGAGTGAGACTCTGTCTCAAAAAAAAAAAAAAAGTCACTTTACTTTTAGAGATACTTATGAAAATATTTACAGATGAAATTACATGATGTCTGGAATCAAATAATCCAGTGGTGGGGAGGGGTGATGAGTGGGGTTATAGATGAAATGAGAATGACCATGAATTGCTAATTATTAAAGTTGAGTGAGAGCTACATGGGGGTTCATTATAGTATTATTTCTACTTTTATATTTGTTTGAAATTTCCCATAAGAAAACAAATTTTTGTTAAAGCACTCTGTTTACCACTTGTTATGCTTGACTTTACCATACTAGATTAGAATTTGAAAAACAAAAAACTCGGCTTAATGTTCAACTTGAGTATAGTCGCAATCAGCTGAAGAAGAAATTAAGTAAGATCAACACGTTAAAAGAAACTATCGAGAAAGGTAGAGAAGACATTGATAACCTAAAGAAGGTAATTAGTAATGGGTTGCTGAAGTGCCTATTCATTGGCATTGACGTCCTTCATTGAATAAACCTGTGTTGAGCTCCTGATGAGTCCTGATGGTGATAGAAGGGGTGGGGGCAGATTTAAGAAAGACTTAAAAGTAAAATCAGCAGAGCTTTGTGAATTACTGAATGTTGAAGTGTGAGAGAGGGCAAGAGAGGGGTGCCACAGATGACTCTGAATTCTAACTTGGGTGACTGATGGATGGAAGCAGCAAGTTAAGGAGGGAAAATTCTGGACCTGTGGAGTTTAAGTTGCCTATGTGATATCTACATGGCAGTTTCCAGCAGGCAGTTAAAAAGTAGATACTAGGAGAAGTCTATTCTAGATAATCAGATTCAGGAGTTGCTGGTTTATGGGAGTAAATTAAAACCATATGAGAATGGTTGCAACTCCCTGGTAGGGCAGGCAGTGAAGATGAGTGGAGCAGCGATGAGATTCTGGAAGGTGGTCAGTCAGCTTAGGAGGAGAGCCAGAAGAGGTGGTATCCTAGAAACCCCAGAGTTTCAGGAAAGTGGAAGTAATGAAAGCTGTCAAAAAGGTAAAGTCTAGGCCGGGCGTGGTGGTTCACGCCTTTAATCCTGGCACTCTGGGAGGCTGAGGCAGGAAGATCACTTGAATCCAGGAGTTGGAGGTTGCTGTGAGCTAGGCTGACGCCACGGCACTCTAGCTGGGCAACAGAGTGAGACTCTGTCTCAAAAGAAAGAAAGAAAGAAAGAAAAGTACAGAAAATGTCTGATACTGCCAATTAGAGCTCATAATAGCAAGAACACTTTCACTGGACAATGGAAATAGAAGTCAGATGGCATTGAGCTAAGGAATTAATCCAAAATGAAGGATAAAGGTGGGTAGTGATCACCAGTTTCTAAAAAGTGTAGAGTGAGAGTGGGCCACAATCTGTGATGGAGGGTCAAGGTTCAAGCAGCACACAGGATGAGATGTTTTCTCTTGGAATGACTGGTTTGGTTTTATTATTTATAAAATAATCTATCGACTTTATTAACATAAAAGATGGTAAATCTGCAATGCAAACTCTCTCTGTTTAGGCTGAAGAAAACTGTCTTCAAATTGTGGATGAACTTATGGCAAAGCAGCAGCAACTTAAGGACATATTTGTCACTCAGAATTCCAACATTGAGAAAGTTCAAACTCAAATTGAAGAGGAACGAAAACAGTTTTTGGCTGTTGATAGGTAATTAAGAATTCATCAGTTTGAAAGACCTAGTCAGAGTTTTAAACCTGTATATTATCAATTTGAAATTTATTATATGAAGTTGTATTTGAATATGTACCCAATATGTTGTTCTTGGTTCCACATCATACCTTTCAAACATTCTAATTTGGAGGAAAACCAAGAGAGGTGGTTAGCTGTGTAGAGCAAATATTTCTTTTCAGTAGATGAAAACATGAGTCTGTATAGTGAGTACCTTAATCCCCTTTGATACTGGTATTTTCCTGTTGTACAGAAATGCCTTCTAGCGTGTGCAACATAGCATAGAAGGTAAGGAGGTAGAATCTGGAGCCACACTGCCTGGTTTCATATCCCAGCTCTGCTACTTACATAGCATACCTTAATTTTCTCATCAGTAATGGAGATAGTAATAGTGTGTACTAACAGAAGGATTAAATGAGTTACTATTCATATGGCACTTAGAACACTACCTGGCACAAGATAAGTATGTGCTTTTGCCATGATAATGATGAGGACACTTTGAATCAGCTGGTGTGTACCAAAATAGTGCCTGCTTTCTTGTCATGCATCATGATTTACACAATTATAAATGATCAGCCGAAATGAGCACTTTGTTTTTGCTCAGACTCTTGGCATTTCACAATTTTCCTCACTGTCCAAAACTCATCAGTGTTTCAAAATATAGCCAGAAAGTTCTTTGTCTAAGATTTTTGAGTGGAATTTTTTTTACTTTTGTATTTAGAGAGCCTCCTCTCCCCCTTCATTCTTGAAAACCACATAGGTCTTAATTTCTTCTTTCTTTCTTTTTTTGGGGAGTCCTCTTTCTAGATGTGCTTTAAAATTCCACATCATTTCAATTGGTAAAACTCCAAACCCTCATCTTGAGGTAGAAGGCATTACATTAGTGGTGGTGGTAGTAAAGAAACTTTAGATTATTAGGTGTGTAATGACTTTCTGGCAAGACATTTCTCTTGCTAAGAGACTTTCTCTTGGTTTTAGGTTCTAAAATATAGAGCTTATATCTGAGGAATAAATGCAGCTTGAAAAATGGTACAGATTTAAAAATTAACTAGGAAAGTATGTCTTTGCTAGTCCTGATTAAAGCAGTAATCATGTTTATTAGTAAAAATTGCTCCCTTAGATTAACTAATTACATTCATGGCCTTTCTCAGGAGTGTTAACAATTAAATTACAAGCATTAATGAGAGAACCTCTAGAATTTAGAGCATTTACAAGAAAAAATAATTCTTTTTTTTCATATAAGTTTATAACATACATTTTTCTTCCTAGTCCAATGTTATATAATGAGTAAAATCATTTTTATCATATCTGTGTATTTACAGGGAAGTGGGAAAGTTGCAAAAAGAAGCGGTAATCATTCAGACATCTCTTGAACAGAAACGATTAGAGAAGCATAACATGCTACTTGATTGCAAAGTTCAAGACATTGAAATAATTCTTTTGTTGGGGTCATTGGATGACATCATTGAAGTAGAGGTATTCTAGCAAATTAAAAATATGTGCAGCTATATGGAACTTAATGCAGTGCCCTTTGACTGCTTATTCTTCCTTCTTGGAGGAAAAAAGGACAAAACGACTGTCATCCCAGAGGACTAGGCATTTCATTCAGTGCTCTTTTTGTTAATCCACATTTCTTTAGGTCCATAGGATGAACCATTGTTTCTTACCTATATATTAGATACCCAAGAAAAATCAAAGAATTAAAGCTGTTGGAGGCCGGGCACGGTGGCTCACGCCTGTAATCCTAGCTCTCTGGGAGGCCGAGGCGGGAGGATTGCTCGAGGTCAGGAGTTCAAAACCAACCTGAGCAAGAGCGAGACCCCCGTCTCTACTATAAATAGAAAGAAATTAATTGGCCAACTAATATATATACAAAAAATTAGCCGGGCATGGTGGCGCATGCCTGTAGTCCCAGCTACTTAGGAGGCTGAGGCAGGAGGACCGCTTGAGCCCAGGAGTTTGAGGTTGCTGTGAGCTAGGCTGACGCCACTGCACTCACTCTAGCCTGGGCAACATAGTGAGACTCTGTCTCAAAAATAAAATAAAGTAAATAAATACTGCAGAATCATTTTTAGATGATAAATTTAGAGTATAAATTTTTTAAGTAGCTTCCTTAATGGTTTTTGAAGAAATATGCAAAGGAAAAACTTCTGACAACTAATATGTGGGTCTCTTCCACACCAGCAGTTCTCTAATTCTTTGAACAACAACTGGGTATCCTATAATTCAGTTCAATTCTGACACTGTCTACCTGAAGTTAGCATCAGACTCCACAAGTTAAGGGCTCAGTCTCACAGACTGCCTGGTCTTTAGATGCCAATCACAAGTCCAGGCCTCCTGTACTTCTGCCCAACTGGCTATAATCAGGAGTTCCTGCTTGGATTTGATAATTTGCTAGAATATCTCACAGAACTCAGGAGAATGCTTTATTTACATTCACCCATTTATTATAATGGATATAACTCATGGAACAGCCAAATGGAAAAGATGCATAGGACCAGGTATGGAGAAGGGTTTGTGGCCTCTCTCATACCCTCCAGGCATACCTCTCTCCCAGAATCTCTGTGTGGTCACCAACTCAGACGTTCTTCAAATCCCACTGTTTAGGGATTTTTATGGAAGCTTCTTTACAAAGCCATGAATGATTGAATCATGGGCCATTGGTGATTGAACTCAGATATTCAGCCCTCCTAAGGAGGGTGCTGAAAGTTCCAACCCTCTAATCACATGGTTTGTCCCCCTGGCTACGAATCCCCATCTATTAAGAGCTCATTAGCATAAACTCAGGTGTGGTTTAAAGGGGCTTATTATGAATAACAAATAATGTTCCTCCCACCCCTACTACTCAGGAAGTTCCAAAAGTTTTAGGAGCTCTGTGCCAGGAACAAGTATAAACAAGTACAAAAACCAAGTATAAATTTATTACTATATCACCATATCACAAAACAGCAGTAAATAGGTTACTTTTTAAAGAGTTTATATCAGCATTTCTAACTGTGTTCTGTAGAGCACTAGTACCTTGAAATGTCTAGGCAAAGAAGTGACAACCCAAATTAAGTGAGGCAAAGATCTCAATCAGTGGAAGTTTATTAAGCCAAAATTTGAGGACATGCCTGTCTGTGCCATCTGTGACCTGTGCTCTCTGAAAAGGGATTTGAGAACTCAGTATTTAAAAGGATAGGGCTTACATGGCCAGGCATGGCAGCTAACTGCCTGCAATCCTAGCACTCTGAGAGGACGAGGCGGGAGGATGGATCGTTTGAGCTCAGGAATTCGAGACCAGCCTGAGCAAGAGCAAAACCCCGTCTCTACTATAAATAGAAAGAAATTAATAGGCCAACTAAAAATATGTAGAAAAAATTAGCTGAACATGGTGGCTCATGCCTGTAGTCTGAGCTACTTGGGGGGCTGAGGCAGGAGGATGTGACCTAGGAGATTCGGAGGTTGCTGTGAGCTAGTGCCTGACACATGGGCACCTTCTAGCCCAGGCAACAGGAGGCAAGACTCTGGTCTCCAAAAAGAGAAAGGGAGGTGATTATGGGGCGATAACGCGAGAGAGGAAAAGGGAGGACAAGGTGCTGGCAGTGAGGCAAAGCTTACATTCTTGTGAGCACTTTGGTGTCCAGGAGATCTGACATTTATAAGGATAAGTGATGTTAAAAAGAAAAAAAAAAAAGAGTGGAAGGAATGCTCAATTGTGTAGACGGCTGTCTGGGTAGCGGCAAGAGTGTTGATCAGTCTCTTGTCTCTGTTTGCAACCTGAATGACAAAACGTTGTAGAGTCAACATGGGTTGTGTGGGCGATAGAACACGAACTTTTAGTTTTGAGGTGAGAGTGTATGCTTGGCAGGCTTGTAGACGTTTAATTTGAGCGGTATCCTTTCGGTGACGCGGCATGAGAGGGCCGGAGAAAAGGAGTCTTCCTTGGATGAATGATCTCTGGAGAAGCCTTGTAGATGATGCTAAGACCTTTTCCTTTCTGGGAGATGCGGTAAGCGCATAATGTAGTAGCAGCGTCTCCATGGCAGGTCGAGTGGACTCAGCCTCCAGGTGCTTGACCTTCTCCTTTAGTGCATAAAGGTTGGGAGGGTGGGAGGTGGGCTGAGATTTTTATTCTTTTCAGAATAAAGTTTCTGTGGTCAGCTATTTTTTTTTTTTTTTTTTTTGAGAACAAGCAGTCTCACTTTGTATGCCGTAGGCTAAAGTGAGTGCGTATGGCATCAGCCTACGCTCACAGCCAAGCCTCAAACTCCTGGGCTCAAGCAATCCTGCTGCTCAGCTCCCCAGGTGCTGGGACTACAGGCATGTGCCACCATGCCTGGCTAATTTTTTCTGTTATATATTAGTTGGCCAATTTTCATTTCTAATTTAGTAGAGACGGGTACTCGCTCCTGCTCAGGGCTGATTTCGAAACTCCTGACTTGAATGTGCACCCGCCTCGAAGCCTCCCCAGAGGTGCTAGGCTTACAGGTGAGCCACTGGGCCCAGCCTGTCAGCTTCTTTTTGAGAAAGTCTATTTCCGGCTTGGAGATTCACAATGAATAGTAAAGTTTTTGAGAAGTCCTACAATAAACAAAAATAACCAACTACTCCCGCATCCAGGATTTGCCCTGTCAGTGTCCCAATGCAGTAACCTTTGCAGGCACCCTCTCCCAGAGTACCATAGGCGATATTGTGCCAAACCCTTCACAGCTGCAGAGCACAGACCTCAAATACAACTTTAATTCAGTTGAATTTAATTTGGTCCCTTTAATTGAGCAGCTCTGGCTCTGTTTCTCAATCATCCCTGTTGCCATACATTTCCCTGTGTGCTGGCTTCATGGAAGCTGCTTCTCTCCTGAGGGCAGAATGACTGCAGCTGTTCTTGGCTTTCCAGCCACACAGCCACAACCTTTAGAGGAGAGGCTGCCTTTTATAGTGGTGCTGTTCTAAAGTTGAAGAAAAGTTTTTCCTACAAAGCCCCAGCAATTGTTCCCTCATCACAGTGGCCTGAATGGGGTCACATGTTCATCATTCCTGAACCAATCTCTACTGAGGGAGGAGGATGGTGGATTTAGCCATAGACCAAGCAGGCCCACCCCTAAGTGCATGGACTGAATAGGAACAAATGGATCTGCCTGGTCTAATGCATGTGCTATGTTATTACAGAAAGGCAAAAGTAGAGAATGGAGGCTGAGTAGCAATATCTACCACATCTTGTAATTTCTTATGTTACCAATATATTCTGTTAGATTTGTTGGACTCTAGTTGTATTTATGGCATCTTTTGGCAATCAGAAATCTTTTCTGTATTCTTCTATTTAGTGCTTTCTCCCTTTGCCTTTGAATTTAGACAGTCCTTGCCCATCTCATTACCAACTAAATATTTATAAATATTCTTTCCTGTTTATGGTTTTGTTTTCATTTACCTGTATAATTCATCTGAAATGTATTTTAGCATATGGGATGAGGTAAGAATCTAATTTTAAAAAGGTACTCAGATTAACCAGTTTACTCAACAGCATTTTTAAAATAATTATCTTCCCAGTGAATTAAAGTGTCACTTTTATCATATATTAATTAGCTCCCCTCTGGGAAGTGAAAAAAAAAAAAAATTCCTGGAAGGGCATGCCTACCGCACGTTTTCTTTTCCCTCCTCACTCGAGTTAGTTCTGTTCATCATTCAGGTTCCAGGTTGAGTGTTACCCCCTCTAGCTGGATTGCATCCCCCTCTCTCTGCCCCACAGTACCTATGCTTGCCCTAATAGAGGTCTTTTCACTCTGTTGTAAAAGCAGTTTATATTTCTGACTTCCTTGTGAGCTCTTTAAAGGCAAAGACTAAGTAGTTTCCATCATTGAATTCTCAGTGTAATACATAGTAGGTGATCAGTACTTTTTAATAAGCCAGGAAATTAAGGTGATGTATGAATTGTTGCTTTTTAGCCAGATTAAGAAATAAGGAGTTCCAGTCAAAATAGAAGTCTTGGGTTATGAAAAAGTAAAATAAGTTATAAAATTAAAAATAAATAAGGAGGTAAAACATGTTCCAAGAGAGGAGCATATACAACACTGGAGCCATGAAAGAGCAACCTAGGCATCTACAAATATTGCAGCATGACTGTATCTCCAGGCTCAGTGAGGGCTTCAGGGAGGGAAGGAATGGATGCAGAGGGAGCCGCTGGGGGCCAGATGGTGAAGGGCCCCCATGTGTATGCCTTACCTTAGCAGTTTGGATGTAATGGCATGCCAATCAGTGTTGTTCTTTGCCAATAATAGGCTCTACAATCTGATAAAGAAATTGAGGCCCACCTTAGGCTCCTACTGCAGCAAGTAGCATCCCAGGAAGATGTCCTATTGAAGACAGCAGCCCCAAACCTGCGAGCACTGGAGAACTTAAAGACTGTCAAAGACAAGTTCCAAGAATCCACAGATGGTGAAATTCTTTAGTTGTTAACAAGATTATATTCATGGGTGTTTTGATTTTTTAAACACTTGCCAACAGTCCCTCTTGGATTGTGCCTTTTTAAATTATATATCTTTTCCTCTATTGTCTTATATTAACATGTACTTTTAATACTAGATCACTAATTGCTCTCATTTTGAAAAGTGTTCTGCTTTAAAACAGATTTATTGGCTGGCCTGGTGTCTCACACCTGTAACCCCAGAACTTTAGGAAGCTGAGGTGGGGGGATTGTTTGATCCCAGGAGTCTGAGACCAGCCAGAGCACCATACTGAGACCATGCCCCTACAAAAAAAATTTTAAAAATTAGCCAGGTGTGGTGACATACACCTATAATGGCAGCTACTAGGGAGGCTGAGGTGGGAGGATCTCCTGAGATCAGGAGTTTCAGGTTGCTATGAACTGTGATCACACCACTATGCTCTAGCCTGGGCAATAGCGTGAAATCCTGTCTCAAAAACAAAAAAAAAAACAGGTTTATTGATTATTTTAAAAATGTATATATTTTTTCATAACAGCAAAATAGGCATATTAAATATTCTGTCAGAACTTGTCACTATTATTTAGAAATTAGCCCTATTAAAAAAAGGGCTCATCGATTTTAAGAACCATCCTCTTGGAGCTAAATTAATAGTCGAGGTATTGTGAAGGTAGATTTACTCAAGACAATCAAACTCAAAATCCAGTTTTGAAAATATTTCATGCTTTAAAGTTCACATAAAAGAATTTCCTTAATGGTCTCCAAAATAAAGAACATTGATTTTCTCTTAGCTTTTGAGGCCAGCAGAAAAGAAGCCAGAATGTGTAGGCAAGAGTTTGAACAGGTGAAAAAAAGGAGATATGATCTTTTCAGCCAGTGTTTTGAGCACGTCTCAATCTCAATTGATCAGATCTACAAGAAGCTCTGCAGAAACAACAGTGCCCAAGTATGTATTTTTCACCCCCAAATGCTAGTGGGAATTTTCTGTTTTATTGGTGGTGTGGCTTTTTTTTTTCCTGGCGGGAAATAACCACAGCCACATTATTTTAGTGACTCACGGGGCAAAGTCAGATGAAGGTTGGTTATCTAATGACCTGTGTTCTAGATCCCTTTCACTCTACACTGGCCAGCCTGGACAAGTCTAAACATCTCCAGGCCTGTTTCTTCATCTGAAAAATCAGTGACTTAATTAATTTGGTTTCCAAGTTCTCTCCAGATCTGAAACTCTGCTGTCTGGTGCTAATTTGGTTTTATAGAACTGTGGGCCCCTGTGGTGAAGGAGGGACAGTGTAGGGAATCTTGGGAAGATGACTGATCTGTGGAGTTGGCCAAAGTAACAAAGGAGAGGGAAAGAACTAAAGGCAGGATTCAAATCCATATGTGATAGTCCCTTTGCTATAACCACCTCTATTCCATTATCAATATCCATAATTTATTTTCAGTAAAGACAGACTAAAATAAACCCATTAACTCCTTGAGAATAACGATTCATCACTGCATCGACAGTACCTGGCCCATGATAGGTTTTCAGTAAATGTTTGATGAGCAGACCAGTTAATGAATTGAATGAAGACTGTTTTTTAAGACTGTGGTACATGTTGCCAAGGTTTGCATGGCAGTCTGGTGGAAAGGCCTGATTCTCAGGTATGTTAGAATGTTTTCCTCTACCCAGACAACCCTGTTGTCTGTGATTACATGTAGAACTAAATACATTATTTACAGGCATTGGTATTTTTCCATCAAAACTGAAGAAAACCTAACCAACAGACTATTTTGTAGTTAAACTCTACTGCAACCCTAAGTTGAAATTTACTGGTTTGCTTTTCTGATATTGTGAAATAAATGTGTTTCAGGCATTTCTTAGTCCAGAGAATCCTGAAGAACCTTACTTGGAAGGAATTAGCTATAACTGTGTGGCCCCGGGCAAACGGTTTATGCCAATGGACAATTTGTCAGGGGGAGAAAAGTGTGTGGCAGCCTTGGCTCTCCTGTTTGCTGTGCACAGGTAAGTCACAGCAAGCTGTTCAGTTTCTAGCAGGGCAGAGGCCAAGTGGAACTTCTTACAGATCTATGTGCTGTTTGTCTTTATTGACATTTAGCAAATGTGATATACAACTATTTTCTAATTCATTTATTAGCTAATTCATTTATGTTTCAGGCCTACAATAATTTAGACAGCAAATTTAAGAGAGAGTTCAATTTTTGACAGATTTTTATTCACTTTCTATTATCAATGACTACTAATATTCCAGATTTATAGAAAAGAATAAAAAAAATTAGAATTGACAGATATCAGGATTGCCAAAAAAATAAAACAACAAACCCAAAATACCCCAACTTATATATTATTTTCCTGATCCATATTCAGAGATCTGCTGTTTAGTAAAGAATGTTAAGCAAAGTATTTCTTCTAAAAAAAAATAACCCATACACCTTTATTATACTGATAGAATATATAGAGATAAAGATAGGAGAGGAGAGGAGATATATCCTTTGTAAAATATCACAGATCAGAAAAAAATTAACTAAAATATAAAAGTGACGACATTAAAGTCGTAACGATATATAACTCAATATATAATTTAAACAATTCACAAGCATGTAAGGCATGAGGTGTGGTGGCTCACACGGCCTAATAAAATACCCAGCAACTGCTCGGGAAGGCAAACTGAGATGAGGCGAGATTGCTTTGAGGTCAGGAAGTTTGGAACCAGCATGAGGCGAGAGTGAGACTGTCTATACTATAATATAGGAAAACGAATTAAATATAAAAATATTAGAAATAAATATATAGAAAAAATTAGCCGGGCATGTGGCACATGCCTGTAGTCCCAGCTACTCGGGACTGAGGCAAGGAGGATCAGCTTGAGTCCAGGAGTCTGAGGTTGCATGAAGCTAGGCTGACGCCAGGGCACTCACTCTAGCCCTGGACAACAAGAGAGCTCTGTCTCAAAAAAAAAAAACATTCTACAGCATTAGATGAGACGCTAAGTATAGAATGACAACTGCCTCTCTATTTCTGTGACCAGGAATGTAAACATACAAGAGCTTGACAATTGTTTTTCCTGGTCTCCAGAAGGAAAAGGAAATAGGCCTACCCAGGGAAAGGAAGAGAAGCCATTATGAGCAAAGGGATGTGGATTTGTTCAGATGCAGCAAGTGCTTTGACAAATAATGCTTAAAGCAGAATACAATGGTCGCTAGGTGGCACCCCTTCCATTTATTCAGCAGATACCTACTGAATACTTACTGTGTGCCAGGTGCTATTGCAGGCACTGGGGAGATAGCTGTGGACAAAACAAAGTAACTACCTCAAAGATACTTAAGTTGAGGAACACAATAAATAAGGTAAATTAGTAAACTAATTCTCTAATATAGAGAATAAAACAAATAAAAGTGGAGGATGGAGATAGTAAGTGGCAGGGAGGGGTCTGCAGTATTAAAGAGAGTCATCAGGGAGGGCCTATTTCAGCAAAGATTTGAAGGAACTAGGGGAGCAAGTCATGTGAATAGGGAAGAATATTCTTTTTCTTTTTCTTTTGAGACAGTCTCACTCTGTTGCCCAGGCTAGAGTGAGTGCCGTGGCGTCAGCCTAGCTCACAGCAACCTCAAACTCCTGGCTCAAGCATCTTCTGCTCCACCCTCACCAAGTAGCTGGGACTATAGGCATGTGCCACCATGGCCGGCTATTTTTACATATATATATATATATATATAGTAGTATATATAATATATATAATAATATATATTTTTTTTTTTTTTTAGTTGTCCAGCTAATTTCTTTCTATTTTTTAGTAGAGACAGGGTCTTGCTCTTGCCCAGGCTGGTTTCAAACTTCTGAGCTCAAACGATCCTCCCGCCTTGGCCTCCCAGAGTGCAATGAAGACCAGCCTCTGCAAGAGCAGGACCCCTTCTCTACTAAAAAATAGAAAGAAATTAGCCAGGCAATTAAAATGGAAAAAATTAGCCGGGCATGGTGGCAGCTACTCAGGAGGCTGAGGCAGAGGATCGCTTAAGCCCAGGAGTTTGAGGTTGCTGTGAGCTAGGCTGACACACGGCCAATCCTAGCCTGGCAACAGTGTGAGACTCCATCTCAAAAAAAAAGTTACCAGAAAAAACTCAGAAGCCATGGGTGGAACTAGAGTGTATCACCCATACGTCACAGAGCAGTGTTTCAAGAAGGAAGTGACAGCCCAAATACTTCTTACATGTAGATCATAAAGGATGCACGCTGATAACTGAGCACTGAATTTAAGAACATGAAGATCATTTATTACATAGACAAAAGTATCCAAAATAATGTGTTTTATTCCTTCCAAATACTGTTAATCCTTTCGTCTAAGTCTTGTAACAGAACAAAACTACGCCTTGTCTTACTCGATTGTAATTTTTTTCTAGTTTTCGGCCTGCTCCATTCTTTGTTTTAGATGAAGTGGATGCAGCCCTGGACAATACTAACATCGGCAAAGTAAGTTAATTTCTGCTTAATTTTCAATAGAATGTCTACAATTCAGGGATCATGTTGCAGTCAGAAGGCAGTTATCCTGAACAAAAGGGTTGTGGGACAAGCAATGAAAATTGCTGATTAAAAATCAATACTTTTGGCCAGGCGTGGTGGCTTACGCCTGTAATCCTAGCACTCTGGAGGCCGAGCGGGGCGGATTGCTCAGGTCAGGAGTTCGAAACCAGCTGAGCAAGAGCGAGACCCCATCTCTACTATAAAAAAAGAATTAATTGGCCACCTAATATATAATAGAAAAATTAGCCGGCAGTGGTGGCGCATGCCTGTAGTCCCAGCTACTAGGGAAGGCTGAGGCAGGAGGATTGCTTGAGCCCAGAGTTTGAGGTTGCTGTGAGCTAGGCTGATTGCCACAGCACTCACTCTAAGCCTGGGCAACAAAGTGAGACTCTGTCTCAAAAAAAAAAAAAAATCAATACTTTTGGCCAAGCGCGGTGCCTCATGCCTGTAATTCTAGCACTCTGGGAGGCCGAGGCAGGTGGATAGTTTGAACTCAGGAGCTCGAGACCAGCCTGAGCAAGAGCGAGACCCTGTCTCTACTAAAAATAGAATGAAATTGGTCAAGTTAAAAATATATAGAAAAAAAATTAGCTGGGCATAATAGCGTATGCCTGTAGTCCCAGCTACTCGGGAGGCTGAGGCAGTAGGATCACTTAAGCCCAGGAGATTGAGGTTGCTGTGAGCGAGGCTGATGCCACAGCACTCGCTCTAGCCTGGGCAACAAAGCGAGACTCTGTCTCAAAAAAATCAATACTTTTAAAATCCAAGCTAAATATCTAACAAGATGATGATTTAGGGTAGTTTTCATTCAAGGTTTAGAGGACCCTCAAGAGTTGATGGGCAGTCAACACAAGGGGTCAAATGAGGATCACTGCATTACCCACAGCATTACTACTGGCATAACTTGCTTCTCCCCAAATCTAGATACTGGGAATTAGAGGATTGCTAATAGCAGGCCTCGTGGCAAACAGGTCTATTTGGTCTTAGGGATCAAATTCATTGTTTAATAAAGTCTAAAAATAACATGTTCTAAAGGGAGTTTAAATTTTAAATTCTACCTCCCCAATTTTATCAAAATGTATCCAATTACTTTACTTGTACATGATCCTACTCTCAGTCTTTGAAACAATGAAAGAACTAAGGAAACAGTTTCATTCTTGAGAATTAAATTTTAGTCAGCCCTGAAAGATCAGTGAGTGGGCAAATATACAGAGCCCACCTTAAAGAGCCCAGCTCTCAGTCCACACATCTTGACTGTAACTAGATTGATTTTGAATGTAAGAATGGGGTCAGCCATGGAACATGAACCAAGGATGGAGGCAAACTGCCCAGAGGAGGGGTAGCTCCAGCCTACAGAGCTCTGGTATGCTGGTACTACTGCCGTGTTTAGAGATGGATGAATCAGACTTTCCTGGTTCTGATTCCAGGCCCATCCATCTTCCATAAGTGACTGAGCTTTGCATTTATGGCTGCTCACAGGGAGGCTACTCTGGTCATGCTGACAGATTCTCTCTCTCATTGCTTATTTGTAAATTGGCATTCTGGTTTATAACCTAATCTTGTGAGGTTGGTTAATGAGCCCACCCTGAGAGATGTTTTCACTCTTAGGGTGCTGCCCAGCAGGTTCTGCACCTCTGAAGCTGTCCTCCCTGATTTCTCAGTCTCACGTGAAATACCTGAGTTGGGGGACATGAGTAGCTGCAGCCTGAGGGTACCTTCTAATGGCATCAGCATAGTCTTTCAGCATTTCCCTAGTTGTATTCATCTAACCCAAATCTAAGGCTGTTTTTAACATGGCAAGAATGTCCTATCAACTCCATACTCCCAAAAAGGCTGCCAGAGATTCATGGTGGAGGAAGAAAACACAGCAACAAAAGAACATCTTGATTTATCTCTTGAATACCAGCCAGTCTGAATCAGATGACTGGATTCCATGACCTGACTCATTTGGGAGAAATATCCCCTTAGGAGGTTAATTTTGGCACTTTGTGTTCCAGATCTTGTGGGGAAAAAAATCTTTGTGGATAAATCTTTTCTTGGTTGCATTTAAGGCATCTGTATCTTCTAAATGTGATACCTGACGTTAGATGTTTGCATTGGTGGCATCTCCAGGTGTTAGGTCTTGAGGACTCCTATTAGTACCCTCCTGTGTATTAAAACCTCTTAATTTCCTTTATCCTTTTGAGATTTATTTCCTGACACTATTGCTGAATTGATATGAGCCAACTATGAAGTAGTCTCCATGCCCTTCTGTGATCAAGGTGCAGAACATTTATAATGGGCAACTCTCCACGCAAAGTGCATGCCGAACAGCTTTGCATCTCATCTGCTTTTCCTGTGACTCTCCTTAGACCGTTCTTTAGTCCTGCGTCACAGTGGCTACTACATTACCTCTAATGCTGGAGTCCCTTCTGCGAACTCAGCCTCGTAGCCATGGGCAGTTTTCTTCCTATCTTGTCATTCACCATAGCTAATGACTTGTTCCTCAACTGAAACTGCCATTCCTGCTTCCAAAGCTTGTGCCCTTAGTATCTTGTGTGCAGTCAGAACCAATACACACGGAGAAGTCCACAGTCCATGTGCACACTTCAAGAGACGTGCTTAAGATCTATACAACGAATGATTTGGATATTCAGAATTCAATAATATTATTACTAATTTTTTTGCTCCCGTACTAAATCAGAGAGAATTTTCATAGGTATAATTATGATTAACTTATAATACAAATACTTTAATACTCTCCCTTTTTCCTTCCCCAAAGATTAATAAGTATTTAAAGTCTTATCCCATTTAATTGAGCTAAGTGAGCCTCTGTAACTGATCTAAATCTATATAATTTACTCATTGAGCCTACCATAAAAAAAGAACAACATGAAAAAAAGATTTTTTATAATTAATGGACAATACATAGAAACAATCAAGTTTCCAAATATGTTGTTATGTATGCAGAAAAGTTAATATTGATTTCAAGCTTATACTATTGTCATTAGGTTATAAATGTATCGTTTCTTGAGGTCTATTACTCAGAATACTTCAAATTTGCATTTAATAGAAATAATGTTAACCACCGGTACCGCGGTCACCAGCTGCGCGAAAACTGCCCACACCAGTAACTCATAGTCCAAACGATAGTTTGTGCTGTGGCATGATGACGAATCTGTTTTCTCTTGTGTGATAGGAAAGCTTTAAGCACTGAAAAGCTGTTTTACTTAACTAGGCAGCTTAACTTGTAATAATCACAATAGTACATATACATATATATTTCATTACTTATTTTTAAATGTTTCACAATTTATTTTGTAAAGAAAAATAGGAAAAGTCATACCAACGGCTGTCGGCTTAAAGTCGAGGCTCAAGCTTGTGTGCCTCCATAACACCGTGTTGCTTAAACAACGTGCGCGTTCATCTGTGCTATCACTATAGTCGACACTGTACCAAGAGGTTAAAGCACCGAAAGCTTTTTACTTCTACAGGCAGCTTACTTTAAATAAATCAGAATAGGTAACATAATACATATATGTTTTCATTACGTTATTTTAAATGTTCACTAATTTTTATTGATAATGCAAAATTAAAACTTCCACATCACGGGTGGGTCGCTAAAGTCGACGCTCGCTGTGCACCTTTATACACAGATGTCAGCTAAAGTCTACGTGGCGCGTCATCTTGTGGATATCGACTATAGTTATGCTGGCTGTTGCGCGTTCATATTGTGGCTATCAGCTATATTGACGCTGTACCAAAGTGGGTTATTATATCAGCTAAAAGCTAAATGACGTAACTTTCCTCTGATAAACCACTTTCAGTTTCATCATGGCATTAGGTGGCTGTAATCATTATCCTCACCAAGTTCCTCTCCACGAGGTGGAATGATATAGTGATACTACTTTAGCTATGTTTCAGCTAAAACAGCAATTTAGAACTTTCAGCATGAGCAATACTAAGTGTGGAAAAGTTTCTGTGAGTAACCCGAAAACTATTGGTAATTTCAGGAATGGGATTATCAATTCCCACGAATTTAACAAATAATTGACATTAGTTAGGTTATCTCCGGTCCAATTTGCAGTAGTGCCTCTTTTGGGACTACTGTGGTTGTGACCAGTATATTCTATCCTCTCTTGACACACTCAGGAACAGAATGCTGAAAGATCTTAAGAAACCATAGAGTTTTGGAGCTATCCCTCTACTTAGTCTCATGCTGGCTATACAGACACTTTTGTTGTTAGAAATTCTAGATCTTCTGTTTGATTCATTAGAAAGTGAATAATAACAAAACTGTCATTTTCTTAAAGCCCTTCTTCCACCTCAAAAGATTAAGGCATTGTTGATATCCCGGTTCCTATGAACTGGTCTACACACTGTCAAAGTAACAAGAAGAGAAACTTAAGGATTTTTGACAAAATCTTAAATTCTAAATGTTTAGAATAGTATTGAATAGACTGTGATAATCCAGCTTAGGCTTTGGAGGGGTTAAAATGTTTATTATAATTGGAAGGCTCTGAACCAAGTTATTCGTTTTATTTACATGAGAGCTGTTCTAAAATAGCATGTCTATGATCATCAGCTACTTTAAGAATGTAATATGTGCTATTCCTTTCCTTTCTACCTATATTAGAAGCTCCACATTGGTGTTTGCATTGAAATGATAACAAGGTGAGTAATGCCACTCTGAAACACTTACAGAATCACTGAAGTACTCAATTATTCTTTGTTAAAGCGAGAAAAATTGTAACGATTAAGAAATATCTCAATTAATAATCACACATGTTATCAAAAAGGTATACTCAATATATAATCTATGAAGTAAAATAAGTAGTATTCATATCACTCTGGTCTTAGTTTTGGGACCTTTTAATAAATAGAAAATTTACTCAACAAATGAGAAGGAAAGAAATCTAGTTCATTTCCCTCATAATGCAAGTTCACTTAAAAACAGTTTAACAACAATGTGACTGAGGATGTGGAACACCATAGATCATACGGCTGGTAGCAAAAATAGTACAACTTTATAAAGACAATGACTTCAGAAATCCCATTCACTTATAAAATGCCTACATACAAGTATTTATTGCAATGTTTGGCTATATTCGAAACAAATTAATATTTATCTGAATGCAGATGCAGGAGTTGTATTAGGACTCTAAAGTTAAGTTATTCTATCTTTATCATTCTCCAAGTCTGAGTAGTTTTCGTTATCTCACAATTAAGAAACTACACTATGTGTGCCTATTGAGTGTTCTATAATAAAATGTGTATCACATGCAGGGTTATTCTCTTTTCCTTGAATTAGTTTCCTAAAGGAGCCTGGAGACCACCTCTACCCCAGTGACTTAATTATAATATGCATACATACCTAACTGCCTTATCTTTCCCATCTTCAGGCTTTGAGCTGGTAAAATAGGCAGTTGGAAAGTTAAATACCAGCCCTCTTCACCCTCAAAAAATATCCTGAGTGGTAGTTTTTGTTTTGTTATAAAGGCTGATTACATATTCATGATAGTATCTTAAGGTGAAGCTTTATCCTTTAAAATGTTCTTAAAAGTTTAATCATAGATTTAACAAATTCATTATTTTTACTTAGCTCTTTTAGAATCTAAGCTATTTCCATTTCTGCAGTTATGGTGAATTTACTGAATTACCAGAAAGGCAGGTCTTTGTCACCTAAAATGGGCAAACTCAAGACAATGCAAAATCACTGTCCCCAGAACCCAAACAAGGCCTTTTCTTGCTAGTGAAATGTGTTTATTTCCTCCCAGGTGTCAAGTTACATCAAAGAGCAGACTCAAGAACAGTTTCAGATGATAATCATTTCCCTAAAAGAAGAGTTCTATTCCAAAGCTGATGCACTAATAGGCATCTATCCAGAGGTAAAGATAAATTCAGAGGCGGAGAGGAGTGGCCACTGTAAACTCCCCATAGCACCTGACAGCTACACATCTTCCTTTTATAATTAAAACTTCCAGGCAGGAGTGGTGGCTCACGCCTGTAATCCTAGCACTCTGGGAGGCCGAGGCGGGAGGATTGCTTGAGCTCAGGAGTTGAGACCAGCCTGAGCAAGAGCGAGACCCCATCTCTACTATAAATAGAAAAAAATTAGCCAAACAACTAAAAATAGAAAAACATTAGCCAGGCACGGTGGCACGTGCCTGTAGTCCCAGCTACTCAGGAGGTTGAGGCAGTAGGATTGCTTGAGCCCAGGAGTTTGAGGTTGCTGTGAGGTAGACTAATGCCACACCACTCTAGCCTGGGCAACCGAAGTGAGACTCTGACTCAAAAAAAAAAAAAAAAATCCAAATGAAGTCTGAGGCTTAAATGATTTTTTAATCAAAATTTAAAAGTAACTAGTCAGATTATTTTCCTATGATAGTACATAGAGATTTAAGATATATTTTAAGCGAAAGAAGCAAATGGAAAGTTACAGAAGAGTGTATTAGTTTCATTTTGTAAAATAGTACTCATTAATTTACAGAGTAAACTGTTAATATTGTATTTCATATTTCTGTAATGTTTTAAACAAAAAACAAATGCACTGTAGTAGAACAAGGAGCCATTTATCTTCCAAAAATAACAGAGGAAAAACAAATTCACTAGAAGTTTCAAGTTGTATAGTAAATTTTAGAATTTGAACACACCTTTAAGCCACTCAGAAATACTTACCTGAGCTAATGGAGTAGAGCAACTAATTCAAGTCATCCGTTTTTGGATAGTTTTTACTTCCTGAGGTTTCCTTTAAGCAAAAATAAAAATTAATTTACCTTCCTATGCCTACCAAATGTTAGGCGACTACCTGGAAACATGCTTCAAGAGAAATGGAAATTCTCCTACCAGATAATACAGAAAAAACCTGATATAAATGCAGATAATTGATACCTTTTGGGTATAAGAAGGTTCCTTTTCAATGCAAATCCAGGCTCAATAATGATCCTTACTTTACTTTAATACTTTTCCCCTAATTAGAAGAACTGAATTTTTTCACTTGTCTTCTCTCCATTTCAGCAAGATGACTGCATGTTCAGCAGAGTTTTGACTCTAGATCTTTCTCAGTATCCAAACACTGAAGGTCGAGAAAGCAGCAAGAGCCATCGAGAGTCCTCTTAGGAACTGGTGTGCCCTCGAGCAGCCAGCAGCCTTGTAGAGGTCAGGTGCATCACTGTTCCGTCCCCTCTGATATCCCAACAGCTCCAGCCAGTGTGCCATTTAAGGAAAATCACAGTTGTTTTAGCCAAAGAGGCTATAGCTCACTTCAGTTAAGGAGTATTCCGGCCCCATTCCAGTAATCTTCACTCTAGTCTTGCCTCGTACCTTTAAGTACACTTTAAGGAAATTCTTTTGTAAATGTACTAGTTATAGGATGGTTAATAAGTTGTTGAACCTGGCTTTTAAAGAAATTGTTTCAGACAAACTTTGTCAATATTGAAAATATCAATAAAAATATTCTAATTTCAGATGTCTCCAGTGTACCATTTTAGAAGCCAAAAAAGTTTTAATGGTGAAATTGATTATATCTGCTTCAATGCAATCTAAATTTTTCTGAGTATAATTTCTGTGAAGGAAATATTGAAGAATACAAGCTTTCTCAAGAGCTGACTTCACTTAAAAATATATGAATAGGAAAGAAAGTTGCACACTTTTCAATAATACTTCATTTCCATTTCAAAATGGGGCAAGACAATTCTGGGGTGATCTTCTCTTTAAGATTGCTTTGGTGAGGCTGGGCACAGTGGCTCACACCTATAATCCTAGCACTCTGGGAGGCCGAGGCAGGCGGATCACTCGAGGTCAGGAGTTCGAAACCAGCCTGAGCGAGACCCCATCTCTACTAAATATAGAAAAAAATTAATTGACCAACTAAAAATATATATATATATACAAAAAATTAGCTGGGCATGGTGGCGCATGCCTGTGGTCCCAGCTACTCGGGAGGCTGAGGCAGAAGGATTGCTTGAGCCCAAGAGATTGAGGTTGCTGTGAGCTAGGCTGATGCCATGGCACTCACTCTAGCCTGGGCAACAAAGTGAGACTGTCCGCCACCCCCACCCCCCAAAAAGACTGCTTTGGTGAAACCAAATTGCTCACCACAATTTGGGCCCAAATGCTAATCAAGGAGTAGCCTCCTAAAGTAACGGAACTAGTTTTGAACAACTCATTGTTGCATTAACAACAGAATGCACTCTGTGCTTAAGAAATCAAGTCTCAAAAAGACTTGGTTCTTGCTCTGAAGAAGCTTACAGTACAGTGAGAGAACTGATCTCTGAACTGTAGATCGCAGAAGCCAGTGTCTTTTGTCCTCCTCCTCTGTCCTGTTTTATAGTATTGGCACTACCACCTCATCACCTGCTTCTTTCTCTGCCTTGAAAGACATCAGCTTTAACAATGAAATGTTCCTTTAAATGCTACATGAACTCCACGTCCCTTATCTCTTGCCTGGGCTGTTCTCATTTTTTCATAACGTTTGGACTCAGACTGTCAGCAATCCTACCTAGTACAGTCATTTCTGTTCTGATGTGACAGGTCCACATTCCTGAAAACCCACATGCAATACAAAACCTTAAAACCATAAAAGCAATAAAAATCACAGAGCTACAGAAATAAAGTTGGTGTACTATACTCAAAACAGATACAACCTAATAAAAATTGCTGATTTTAGATACATTAAATGGTTAAGAAATACACAAATACTAAAATTAATATGGCACTTTATCTTGAAAAAGCCCTAAAGTCCATTTGTGGAAGTGGGCGTCAGAAGGGGTGGAGGAAGGAGGGTGGTTTGAAGCACTCACACCCGCTGTGGGTGGGCGTGGCTCCTCGTGAACCAGCTGGCGGGTGACTGGGCTGAACAGGCGTGAGTTTGGTGTGTTCTTCTGCAGCTCCACACAGCTGGGTGCAGTTTACCACATCCCCTTAGTGCCAGGATTAGCACACTTCTTTAAGGGCCACAGTAAATATTTCAGGCTTCAGAGAGGCAGTAAGGAGGCTCTTAAGTAGGTACTTATATAACCATTTTAAATGCAACTACTGTAAAATGTAACAACTACATTAGCTTGAGAAAGCGACCAAAAGGCCACTTTGTCTCCCCCTGACCTAATGTCATTGACCAAATTATACACATAAACAAATGCACTATGCTCAAGGTGTTTCTAATAAATAACTCACACTGGAATAAACTTGCATTTTAAAACAAGCATGCAACAGAACTGACTAGATATACATACACTCATTACAGCAGGATCGCCTCAGACCCTTCAGCATGGCATTCACAGCTCTTCTTCTAATGGGCTCTAACTTTTCCAGCTTATTCCACAGAACCCTCTATGCTCATTTTTCTATACCCTGTGGCCAACTTTCAGATATCCATCCCTGATTACACTTTATAAATGTGTCTTTAAAAAAACAATTTGTAATGTTGGCTTTTTTTTTTTAAGGCTAGTCAAAGGAAGCAGTAGGATATAATGTTTGCTGTTTAAAAAAATTAAAAACATTCAAGTAATCATCTAATTAATTTCACAACTGGGTAGCAACTCCAGCTAACAATTCTCATTAAATACATTATACCAACCAACCCTTGTGATAACTAAAGAAACCTTGAGCACACAGGGTTAAAGTTAACATTTTATTTATGACCAGAGTGGCATAAAAATTTGTTTTCCATGCTTCAAAAAGGGAGAAAAAGTCTGCAGCAGGTCTCCATCTTCTCACTCTCTACACACCCCAACCTTACGTTTTTTACTAACAACTTTCTCTGCACCTGTGGCGGCTGCAGTGCCATCAATAGAGAGTGTCACAGGGCTTGGCAAGAAATGTCACTCAAAATGAGTAGCCTCAAGTTGAAACCAAGCAGAGCTTGTTGTTTCCAAGGACAACCCTTCATTTTAAGACCTCACTGTACCACCACGAGAGCCTCTACTACAGTCTCAATCGAAGCTCCCAGACACCCAGCGTGGCTGTTCCTACCTGGGTAAACCCTGGGAACATTTAACCGCTGCAAGGCCCTTTCCAAGGTCTGCCTAACTCACTGTGTGCAAACCCTCTTAATATGGGCAATGGGAAGAGATTTTTAAGAGCTAAGAGCTGAAAGTCTGGACCTTACCCCAGAGAATAGACGTGGAAAGCTTGGAATTTATAATCTAAAGTTTAAAACTTGGTCTTGTGCCTTGTTTTTTCATTATCTTGTACTTTCTCATTATCAGTCACAAAGTGGACCTGCACGACACTAAGCTGTGCTTTTGAAAAGGCCTGTCGACCTTCCACGTCTTTGGAACAGAAGTCACTAAAATGACATAATTCCAAAGAAGCCCTTTTAATCTCCTTGTTCTTTTTGAAAACACCATTTTCACTAGTGGATTCAGTGTGGATTCGTAGTATCCTTATGTTCTTTGCTATTTAATATGTAACAAACATACCTTTAAAATGTTTTCTACAGTTCACAGATGTTCTCACATAAAAATTATAAAATGTATCTAGTTCTTATTTTCTCTTTGGCAACTACAGTTGCTTGTACAAGTCTTTATTCTCCCCCCTTTTATTAGGAAAAAATACCATCTTGTCGCAATAAAGTGGGAATACCAGGTCCATCCCTTCCCAACGATTTTGGTCCCTGAGGTAGCTGTCCGTCAGTCCTCACAAAGCACACCTGCAGTGTGCATGTGTCACCTCCTGCACTCAAACACCTACGGGGGACCCTCACCCAGCCTGGAGGGCCACACACCCACATGGCTCTCTGAGGGTACGTGACGGCTTGGAGTTGAGAGACCCGTGTGGAGTTCTCTGTACATTCCTCATCGTTTGGGCACGGCACTGTGGTTACAGGGGCTGGTTTGCTGGTTTTAAGGATTTCAAGACCCTCCAGCATCATCTGTTCAAATGAAAGAAAGGAACGGCAGAGTTAAAGTTCAGCTAAAAAAGTTATTTGTAATTGATTTCTATTTCAGAAACTATTGTACAATTACTCTTATATGCCAAACACTTCAAAGACCCTTCCATGATGGAAACAGCAGACGCTGTCTAGAAATGGCTTGTGAAGTTATAAATACCATCAGGACACCAAGTATATTGTGACATTCAGTTTCCAAAGATGTGTGGAAATCTCAACCCATAAACGTGGACGCTGTTTTCATTCTTAGTGCACTGAGGACGGGGCAGCGTCAACAAACACGCAGCAGGAGCCTGTTGGAGATGCGGGGATGAAGGCTCAGAGAGCGTGATGGGACTGCCGAGCAGAGGGGGCCTGTCAACTCCAGGCTGCAGGTGTGGCCAGCAGGACTGCAAAGATGACCCTTGTCCTCTCTTACTCACGTGCACATAGGCCAAGCCTCCTGCACAACGGAGACCAGAGACTTTTCCCTGAGTACACGTGACCGCCCAGGGGAGGCAGGGCTGCTGCTGCAGGTGATGGCCCCTGAGAGCAAAGCTATCACGGGCATCGCAGGGGACACCTGCCCCCCGCTTTACAGCAGTTGCCAGGCAATAGGCCCTGCCACCTGATACGCCAACACCATTCAGAGGGGGATAAAACCTACGAACATGGCCCGGCGCGGTAGTTCACACCTACAATCCCAGCACCTTGGGAGGCTGAGGCAGGAAGATCACCTGAGGCCAAGAGTTCAAGACTACCCTGAGCAACACAGCAAGATACCCCCCTCTATGAAAAATAAAATAAAATTAAAAAGTAGCAGGGCATGGGGTGGCTCACACCTGTAGTCCCAGCTACTTGGGAAGCTAAGGCAAGAGGATCGCTTGAGCCTGGGAGTTTTGAGGTTGCTGTGAGCTAGGCTGACACCACCACACTACAGCTTGGGCAACAGAGTGAGACCCTTATCTCAGGAAAAACAAAATAATTTTATCCAAAACACCATCAAAATTGAATTCTCCCTCTAAAAATGCCTGTGTCCCTCAAGTGCACTAAAGTCATACAAAATCTAAACGGGAGGACGGGGACCCTCAGCTGCCCTCCCAGAAGGACCCACTCACTCTCACCTCCATCCCCACACACCGGGGGCAGCCCCGGCTCCTCTCGCCACCAATCATAACTTGGACAACAACTGACTCTGCAGGTAGCCATTTAAAATTTGTCTTATTTTATTTAACTAAGTTGTATTTGCATTCATTACAAATATTTGTTGTCTACAACAGATCACTTCAACAGTACGTTTCCTGCAGCACTGAGGGGAAACAGTACTGCTCAAACATGCCCACTGAGGAATTAATTTAAATGTTAAAGGATAGGTCATTGTTAGGTTAAATGCTTCCTAGCTCTCACAAGTTTTTGGTAGCTTACTATATGGATATTTAAGAGTGTTTTACTGATGTTTTCTTATATAAAGTAATAAAATGTAAACTCTTGTTATCTGAAAATCCTCTACCCTAACATTTTCATTTTCAGGAATAGAGTCGAGTCAGATAACCAAGGAGGCCTCTGGTGTCTCCAGAGGTCTGAAAAGCTATCACAGTCATAAAACAACAGACAACAAGGGGAAAGAGGAATCTAAAACTTCCTCAAAAAATAAAAAGCAACATTAAGGTCTCAATATGAAGCAATCACAACTGGAAGAAGGGAATGTAAGGAAAAATCCACACTTGACCTTGACGTTGAGAACACATCCTGCATTTGGCCAGGAGCCACGGCCGTGGGCCTGTTAACCTCACATGCGAGTGGGCTAACCAGGAAAGAATACTGACGCTGCTTTAATAAAGTAAATGCTTTTGTTTTCCAATTTTTGGAATCAACTTATTGACTAGAGGTCTCCTAGCTCTTCTGTCCTGTTACCATGGTGACTGGCACTGACAATACGAAGCTGGCAGGCTCAGGGGTGGGTGAGCAAGGGGGGCCACCACAGCCCAGTCTGCATGTTGGGAAGGCAGGGTTCAGCACTGCATTTAAAACGAAGAATGAGAAGTAATACACAGTGCTATCAAAACCTGGGAGGAGGAGGACAAGGAAAGGAGAAAGGCCAGTACGAGTGAGCTAGATCACCTTTCCTAGTGTCAACAGAGATAGCCTATTTAAGTAGTCTAAAGAAATATTTCAATATTTAAATAAATCTTAATGATAAAGGTGGTAAAAACAAAAAACACCAAATGACTTAAAGTGGTTTTCTGTAGAGACTAAGGTGGCATAAAGCAGGCTAGTGGGCACCCCTGGGTGCTGGGGGAATGACGGGAAAGTAGCAAGGGGGACCCGACAGGGTTCTGTTTCCTGAACTGGGTGTGACGAGATGATGTTTTCACTTTGTGAAAATCCACTGTGCCGACCTTCTATTTGTACACTTTCTTGGTGTATTTTTCTTCAATAACATGTTTATTTAAATCAACAGACATTTTTAGAAGGGAGTACCTCTGAGCGGTTGGAAGGGAGAGGCCAGGTTCCACTCCAAGCCTCTCTGACTCTGACTCACGTGCGCCTCCTGCCGCCCACCACGGGCATCAGAGCACAGCCCCGTAAGTGTGACAGCCACAGGCGAACAGAGACAGCCCCCCACAACGAGAAGAACCAATCCCGTACCTGATTGTCTCAGTTTTTTTGAAACTTCAATTCCATTCTCTTCTAACTTCCTCTTTGCACAGTCCTGACATGCATTACCTGAAAGATGAAAACTTAGTAAAAAGCTTATTCGTGCTAGAATCCACCCTCCAAGGACCAATTTATAAACTTGATCTTACTGAAGCCACTGGCCAAGTAATCCCTGCCACACACTACAGATTGTATCGATCAAGTTAACGCTTCTTTCAAAAGGAAACAATGGTCTGGCAGTCACACTTCAGTATAAAGCAACTGTAATAAATATGTCCTTTCACGTGGAAATAGGGTGGAGACGGAAAGCCGAGACCAGCGATTTCATAATCCGAACCCCATCCACCACCGACCGGCAGCGAGGCCACAGTCCCCACGCCACGTGCACTCTCCCATCCGTTCTGCCCACTGACCAGAACCCCTCTTAACCCGCTGACTGAGAAAGTGGAGACATCTGGGGCCCAATTCACAAAGGAGGAAGCTGACTGAGTCCTGTTAATTTATAAACAGGCAGAATTGAGCGCAACAAGACGACCATTCACATTTCAAATGCGTTTTGAACAGAAAATTTTGTATGAGAGCTCAGATCCCTATGATTAAAATTTCAGAAGGGATGTGTCATTCTAAGTTACTACATCTTGCCCCAAATGGTACAACACAAATAGAACCTTGTTCCGAGTCCCCTGTAACCCCCTGGGTTCTAGGACAGGAAGTTACTGCCGGGTGCCAGATGGCCCACGTTTGAGAAGCTGTGCTTCCCAGTCGAAGGCTGATTTTTGGTCCCTTCATTGCGGCAGGGACTGCACCAAAGGTGTGGCTGTCATCATCCTCAGTGGCTGTTTGCATACAGGCCAATTATTTAATGTGAGAAACATGCTTTTATGGCTTTACAGCTAGTGCCTAGAAGATAGTGGAATAAAGATCTGCTTTACCCAATAACGTGGTGCTGTCCACTCGATCAGCATCTGGGGAAGAAAGAAAAGCCGTCAGCAGGGCCGAGCCCCCAGTGCTCTTCCTCCTCAGGCCACTCTGAGGCGGCAGCTCCTGCCCACCCGGCGACTCCCTGCCCTCCTCGTCCACCTCCCAGGGCTGGCAGGTGGGCAGACTCACTGGACGACCATGCGAGGCACCGGGAGCTGGCTGGCGCCCAGGAGCGACGTCTGGTAGCACTGGCGTCATGGGCCTCCTCTCCATCAGGAGAGGCACTCCCTGAATCCGAGGACACATGTCCTCATGACACATACAGATTAAAAATCTGAATGACATTTCAGTCCTCTGGCAGCCTGTCAAACCCACTCAGCTGCCAAGGCCTGGAAGAGGGGCCTCAGCAGGGACAGGAAGCTGCTCAGCGACAGACTGCAGGAGTCTGAGCATACCCAGGGTTTGTGTGAGGCCCGGGCTTCAGGGGAGCCATGGGTGTGGAGGAAGGAGCGGTGGGCAGGGGCAGGCAGGAGGAGAGCCCACGGCCTCCCTGCAGGGCCGTGCACAGGAGCTGGTGCCAGGACACGCTAAGTGGTGCACCTGGCTCTGCCGCCAGGCAAGGATCCCGATCCCCCTCCACACGTCTGGGCAGTAACCAGGCAAGTCACTCCTCCCTGTAAGCGTGTCCCATCATCTACAAAATCATCTAGTAGTAGCGGTGGACACTGCTATTAAAAAATCAAGGCCGGGCGTGGTGGCTCACGCCTGTAATCCTAGCTCTCTGAGAGGCCGAGGCGGGAGGATTGCTCAAGGTCAGGAGTTCGAAACCAGCCTGAGCAGGTGAGACCCTGTACTCTACTATAAATAGAAAAATTAATTGGCCAACTAAAATAAATAGAAAAATGCCGGCATGGTGGTCGCATGCCTTATCCCAGCTACTTGGAGGTGAGGCAAGAGGATTGCTTGGAGCCAGGAGTTTTGAGGTTGCCTGTGGCTAGGTCGGATGCCACGAGACTCTAAGCCAGGCAACAGAATGAGACTCTGTCTGAAAAAAAAAAATCAAATAAAGTGAAAATGTCAAATTCGTATTAGCATGTGACACCCAGTAGCTTGGCAAGCATGTGTTCCTTTCTGCCCGTAGTAAGAAACTGACGACGCTGCCCTAATTATGTTTTTTGTTTGTTTGTTTGTTTGTTTTTTGCGCAGGTCTCTTTGTTGCCCAGGCTTAGCGTGGGAGTGCCATCTCAGCCTAGCTCACAGTAACTCAACTTCCTGGGTCAACGTATCTTCCTGCCCTCAGCCTCCGAGTAGCTGGGACTATAGGCTGCGCCACTCTAGGCAGCCTATTTTTTCTTATTTGTATTAGTGCCATATTAATTTCTTTTATTATAGTAGGAGACGGGTACTCATCTTGCTAGGCCGTTTCGAACTCCGACCTCCAGCAATCACCCACTAGCTCCCGATGCAGGATTCAGACATGAGCCACGACGCCCAGCCTAATTATGTTTTTATTCATGGAAATGCAACTTAAATCGGCCCATTTTGCTAATTATTAGCAATTCTGAAAAGAAAAAGAGTTGCTAGTGGTTAAAAGCAGACAATCAGGCACGTTGGATCACTGTGCATTCTCTGGTTGCCGAGTAGCGGTGTCCACCCCCGGTCGTGCAAGCGTACCCGCCGTGGGGGGGCTGGGCTTCCTGTTCCCACTGCACAAGAGCCTCACGGATCTCCCCAGCCTGCTTTCGCCAGCAGTTCATGATACGGAACGCAAAGCCATTGCCTCCCTCCCTACGTCAGAGGGACCAAGTTTTAGTTTCTCCGTATCTTGGTCTTCTGAAGATGAATGATTCCCAAAAGGGCCGAGGAGCGCTACTCAACAGTGCTGCACTCAGCACAACAGGGAAACTAGGTTATTTGAAAAAAGAAATGTCTTCATAAAAACCATTTGTGCTTTTGAAGTTTTAACTTTCAAACTGTTGTGACAGGATAAAGGTGCAAGATAATCTGCATCTTTTAAGGTATTAAATATCACAACTGATAAAGCCGGCCACCTAGCTTTCTTTCTTGGCTAAAGTATGCTGAAACATGAATAAATGTGTCTAACATTAACATGTACACAGCTGTAAACTTTAACAGTTAAACTTTATATACAGACTGTCACTATCATACCAATCATCCCAATCTTCTAATTTTAAATTACCCAGAGGCATTTTTTTTTAATAACTAGAAGATTGGTAAATTTTATGGTATATGAATTAGTATCAAAAAGAAAAACGAAGGAAAACCACTGGAAGCAGCCTGTGATTTCTGTGTTGGGAAGTGCAGTACCTGGACTCCGCTGTTTGCAGATCTGAGTGGCAAGGTCTTGCACATATCCCGGAAAATAGTCAAAACAGTCCCCATAGGATACGACTTTGATTCCGTGTAACAGCATATCCGCTTGATGCTTAAAGAAATGGTCTTCATTTTCCTTGAGCACAACCATGTAGTGCTCTAAATCCACCTTATTCGGCACCGAGTAAAGGAAAAGAGCTTGGAATATCTGATCACGCAGGGTCTCTCCACAGCCCACGAACAGGAAGGACTTAGTGCGGTACAAGTTCTGGAACACTTCCTGAGAGAAAGCCAACGAGGAAATCAGGACGCTTGTTGGAGAGACAGCAAGAGCTCATGATGAGCCATCAAGTCACACATGTGTCACTGCTCCCCACAGGCCTTCCCAAGGGCCACACTGGGGACACGGTGAGAACACTGTACGCTTTCCACGTGGCACTCGGGTCACCCCCAAGCAGGGATCTGTGGCAACAAAGGCCAAGGCTGGGCCGAGTCCACCTCTGAGCAAGGACGGGGCGCCTCTCCCTGCCTGAGCCAGGACAAATGGCCTGTGCCCGGAGTCAGTGACCAGGCGAGCACACCCTGCAGTAAGGACAGTGTGTGGCCCACCCAACCCCTACTCACCAGCACGGCCGCCCGGCTCAAATCTTCTACAGTTATGTTCAATTTTAAATTACTAAAACATATTGATAAAATAAGGACCTTGGCATTTGTCCAGTTCAGAATCATGCACACGTCTCCAAGGATCGTATGTGGGAACTGTTCCGGGGCGGGGCGGGGCGGGGCGGTCAGGAGAATAGTGTTGTTGGGAATGAGGGCAGGAGAGCTGGGGAGGGGACCAGTAACCGTGACCAAGGGGGTGGGCTCGGGGAAAGCAAAGATTGTGTGGGGTCACTCAGGCACGCAGTAGAGAGGCACCAGTTCCGATATGCAGCATCTTAGAGCAGGTCAGTAACACCCGAGGTACTTCTTATAACCAACCGTGCCACTGAAACGCTTCTGCCTACTCACTCGTCCTGCTGATATCCCGTCCCCGTGACACAGGCTCAGGAATGAGCACGGAGGGACAGAACACCCAACCCCAAGCTCGCAAGCGAGTCCGCAGAGACACTGAGTTTCTGCGAGCACTAACAGAAGCGTCTGGAAAGTGCTGGGAAGCACAGCTTTTCCACACTTCACTCTGTCTAGGGCAACAAGAAAACCTCACAGAGAATGAAGGTTTTTTTTTGTTTTTTTTTTTTTTGAGACAGCGTCTCGCTTTGTTGCCCAGGCTAAGGTGAGTGCCGTGGCGTCAGGCCTAGCTCACAGCAACCTCAAATTTCTGGGCTCAAGCGATCCTCCTGCCCGCTCGATGGCCCTGCCCAAGTAGCTGGGACTACAGGCATGCGCCACCATGCCCGGCTAATTTTTTCTTTTTCTATATATATTAGTTGGCCAATTAATTTCTTTCTATTTATAGTAGAGACGGGGTCTTGCTCCTTGCTTCAGGCTTCATTTCGAACTCCTGACCTTGGCGAGCAATCCACCCGCCTCGGCCTCTCAGAGAGCTAGGATTATTTATAGGCATGAGCCACCATGTCTGGCCAAGAATGAAGTTTTAAAACTAAAGAGGAGAGAGAATTTCAGACAGGAAGAATGCCTGGATGAACACACAGAACTGATGTGACGTTCAGAATTGGACGTTCTAGACTACACAAGGCCCTACAATGTCATCCTGAAGAGTCTCGCTGTATCCCCGGGCTAGAGAGAACCACTGAACGGGGGCTGGCACAGAGGAGGGTAAGATCAGATCCACACTTTTGAAGGAGTCACAAAGCCAAGCACGCTGGCTCACGCCTGTCATGCTAGTAGTTTGGGCAGCCGAGGTGGAGGATGGCTTGAGCCCAGGAGTTGGAGGCTGCAGTGGGCCACGATGATGCCGCTGCACTCCAGCCTGGGCAACAGAGCAGGACCTTATCTCCAGGGGAAAAAAAACAAAAAAGAATCACAGCCTTCCTCCAACAAAGGTTCGCTGAGCACCTACTCAGTGCACAGGCGCTGTGCCAGGCTCTGGAGACACGGGGAGCACAGAGGACGTGCCCCAGCCCTCGGCAGCGTGTGGAGAGCCAACCCAGACGACAGGAATGCCTGGAGCCTTGGAAGCCACCCAGACTGCAGCCAAATGGCCAGTGGCCACCACACAGTCCCCAGTGGGGATGGCAGGCATATGCCCTAAGTGGACGACCGTACCATTACTTCGGTGTCTACGTCTTTATTCCCTGGCAGGGGATCAATACCATCCCGCAGGGGTCTGTGTACAAGCCATGAATGTGAAGAACGCCATATTTGATGTGTCCTCTTGCCCACTGAAGGACCTGTCAAAAATCAAGCCAGGCGAAAGGAAAAACCCATTATTTCAAACAGATAAAAGAAAACATTCAAATCAGAGTCATAGTTTTTCAAGCTTACCTTGGAAAAAGAGATGTTTCAATTTGTAATTATATCTTTAATACGTAAGAGAAGCCAGCTGACGACTCTGCTTGCCTGAATGTGTTACTGCAGAGATTTTAAAAGCTGGCCATAGCTGAAGCCATCTTATGAGCCTTAAGGGCACTGAAATCATTAAGGTTCCTGAAAATGGCTACAATAAATCTTAATGATGGGAAGTATTTTCTTTTTTTTTTTTTGAAGACAGAGTTCCCTTGTTGCCCAGGCTAGAGTGCAGTGCCGTGGGATCAGCCTGCGCTCACAGCAACTCAAATTCCTGCGGCCCAAGGCAGATCCCTCCTGCCTCAGCCGTCGCCGAGTAGCTGACTACAGGGCATGCGCCACCATGCCCAGGCCTAATTTTTTCTAGCATTGAGGTGATTATTGGCCAATTAATTTCTTTCTATTTATAGTAGAGACAGGGTCTCAGTCTTGCTCAGGGTGGTTTCAAACTCCTGAGCTTGAGCAATCCGCCCGCCCTGGCCTCCCAGAGTGCTAGGATTACAGGCGTGACCCACCGCGCCGGCCGCATAGTTACCGCCGACATTGTAATTATTAAGCTCGACACCAGTGTATTCATGCAAGAACTTAGTGAGATTTCTAAATGTTAATAAAAAACTGCATATAATATCTTTAAAGAAAAAAACAAAAGAAACTCAGCTGTTAGCACTAGTTATGTGTATCCTTGTCAGAGTTTTAATAAAGAACTCCTTAAACATCACTATAGACTATTTCGGAACACCTGAGTCACGCACCGTTAAGAGTTGAGCTACTTTTAGACCAGCCTCTTGTGGTCTTCCTGTCGGGCCGCCAGCGCCATGAGCTGCCAGTTCGGGACCTTCCATGACTACTAACTCACGACTGTGGAAGTGAAAGCTGCTTCTAACCCCAGCAGGGCCACCTCGCAGAGCCGTTTCCTCAAATCCGCCACCCGCCCTGCGCCCCGGCCCGCACCTTCGTCTTATCCTTCAAGTCCAGAGACTCCATGGGCTTGTTCTGCTGCTGGCCAAAGAGCTCCAGCAGGTTGTCGTAGTTGGTGGTCAGCACCATGGTGCCCCTGTCCATCAGGCTGAGGACCGACTGCAGCACCAAGGGGTTCTGGATGTGCTGCTCCAGGTTGTCGAAGACCTCCATCAGGCAGTCCTGGAAGAAGTTGGGCTTGGTGTCGCCCGTGCGCTACGGAAAGGTGGAGCGAGAGTTACACAGCATCAGCTCTCAACGCCACTGAGCGCCTGAGCAGGCGGTATTCTGAGCGCTAGATACTGAAGTTAGAAAGGAAGAAAGAAAACCCAGGCTTCACAGGGTTTATTACTTTAGTAGGGGACAGGTAATGTACAGATACGTAAGACGCAGACAGTGACAGATGTGGAGGTCAAGCAGGGCAGAGAAAAGGGGATGGGCCCAGGACAGCAGGAAGGCCTCTCTGACGTGGGGCGCTTGCGCAGAGGCCGGAAGGCGTGCGGCGCGTGGGGCGTGCTGGGCAGAGGAGGGCAGGTGCATAGGCACCGAGGCACCACTCGGGGCCAAGGACCAGTGGGAGTAAGGAGAGTGGCAGCAGTGCGGTCAGAGAGGCGACCTCGCCAGATCACGTGGGGGCTTTGAAGACCACTGTAAAGACTCTGGCTTTCCGGGCCGGGCGCGGTGGCTCACGCCTATAATCCTAGCTCTCTGGGAGGCTGAGGCAGGTGGATTGCTCAAGATCAGGAGTTCGAAACCAGCCTGAGCAAGAGCAAGACCCCGTCTCTACTAAAAATAGAAAGAAATTAATTGGCCAACTAATATATAGAGAAAAAATTAGCCGGGCATGGTGGTGCATGCCTGTAATCCCAGCTACTCAGGAGGCTGAGGCAGGAGGATCGCTTGAGCCCAGGAGTTTGAGGTTGCTGTGAGCTAGGCTGAGGCCACGGTTGGCTTTCCTTCAGGGAAGGCGGCAAAGTCCCAGTTTTCTCCCTTTTGGTGGCATGAGCAATGGTGTGTTTTCACAGCATCTTACACTAGGTGAGAGTTTCACATACTGCAGAGAGCCCGACAGGGCCAGGACTGACACATGGCCTCTGGACACAGCCCCAGTGGTCACCGGTGGGCTGGGTAAGAGCTGCCTCAGCAGGGCGATGGGGGCAAACGCCTGGCACGGGGTTGCAGAGAAGAAAGGAAGTGGCTTCAGCAAATGCCAACTGCCAAAGAGCTTTGCTGCGGGAGGGTTGGAGAAATGGGAGCGGGAGCCGGGAAGACACGGGGGCCATGGGGTTTCGTGCACTCCCGATAAGACCACCCCTCGCCCAGCCTCTGCCCAGCACTCGGCCTCACCTTCATTGCGTCTGGGTAGCTGGCCACCGGAACCCATCCCCGTGCCCTCTGTCCCTGTTTATGTTGGTCGTCACTGTCACAAGAAGCCCGCAACTCACAGATTCCTGCCACCCCCACAGCTCTGAGCACACTCTCTTCCAACACTCTCCCATTCCCAAAACCTTCCCACTGCTCCTAGTGGGTCTGCCATCAGCAAAGCCCCACGTGACCACCCTCTTCCGGAATGCCCACCCTCGCCCTCAACAGGAACCCGGAGCCCACCCAAGTGGGGGCACTCCCCTGCACACTCCTCGGATTGGTGAGGGTGGGGGTTTGGCCCCGCTCTGTAAGTCTCCCCAGCTGTACTTCTATCACACTCCACGTGACTCACATATCTACTTGGATGATCCTTTCTGTATCATGCCTCACTATCCTCCAGTGATCCCGTCCCATCTCAACCACCCACACCCATGGCTACATGCCAGACCTCACGTGACCAAGAGCCAGAGCCTTTCCAGAACCTCTGGCCCAAGCCCCTCTGTCCCATCTCTAGCACCCTGCCTCCCAAGAAAAGCAAGCCCATCGAGGCCTGTGAGCCACAGGCCCTACTACTGCTGACCACAATCACTCGTCCCTCTGATGTCCTGCCTTCTCCTGTTAAGCAGCTTAGTGTCCATACTGATCATCCGACTACTCCCCTGCATACACTCCTGTCCCTCGCCTTTCTCTGGCATTGCTGGAATTCCCTGATAAAACCAACTCCCTGTTTCCTCATGCCTGTTCTGGAACTGTTCAACACACCAGGGAAACAACCACGCCACTGGCCTCGCTGTAACTCTTCCTGATGAAGGGTTTCAAAAACGTGCAAAAGTAAAGAGAGTTCAATGACCTCCAAATACTCAGCTCCTAGTCTAAACAATTAGCCCTGAAGCCAGCTGGCCTCTCTACATGAATGACAATGAGGACCCTCAGTGCTGCCCATTGACCCCACTGCCCTCCCCCGTCCATTAACTCTTCCCCTCTTCTTCCTATGACAGGAGTCAGCAAATTCAGTTGATAAAGGGCCAGAGAATAAATATCTCAGGCCTTGTGGGCCACAGAGTCTCTCTGCAGCTACTCAACTCGGAGGCACAAAGCATGCTCGCAGCCCAGACAACATGTGAATGAATGGCCGCGGCCGTGTGCCAGGACTTCATTACAACAGCAGGCAGCAGGCCAGCTGTGGGCTGGGCCATAATATGCCAACCGTTACCCTATGATGAGCATTGTCCCTTACTAATAGGACACCTACGTTTGGCGCAGTTACCTAACCAAAAACATTTCTCAGACTGGCAAAGCTAGGCGCAGCCCTGTGTGAAACTTTGGCCAATGAGATGAAACCAGAACCGCCCATGACTTCCCTGGCAGCCCTCACAGGCACAAGCCCCCCCTCCCTCTCCTCCTGCTGCCGGCTGGAGCGCCACGCCACTCAGCGCACCTGCCTCAAGTGTGCGCTGGAAGCTGCCCGATGAGGATGGCCGCTCAGCCAAAGAGTTCTCCTTGGGCCTGCCCGGGCCGCTATGTGAGAACTACAACCATGACCACATGGAAGCCGCAGTCTTGGGTCTTTTTTTTTACACAGCCTAAACTTTCCTATCCTCCCAGATGACGAGTTCACTTTTCCCTGCTTTCTCCTGTAAGTCCAAACCGCCCGCATCTGCTCCCTGTCCTGCCTCTGAGATGATGACTACACTTCTTCAATATGGGAGCGATGAAAAGAAACCCGCCACGAGCCTCTCCCACACGGTCTCACTTCCCAGTGTCCGGGCCCAGACACCACAGCTGACCTGGGCTGAGGCCTGGCCGTGGGCCTCACCCCTGCACCAGACCAAGGGCATCATTCAGGAGCCGCCTTCTGCACAGCCAGTTGCGTTTACTCTCTACCAGATCATTTCTGCCTGCAGAGAAAGAAGCTGTCACCGCTCCTTATCTTAAAATGTCTTCTAGGAGCCACCTGTCATCTGAAGAGATGTGGCTGGCCTGCTTAAATCAAAACATACCTCAAGTATTATCCTGGACAGAGCTGGAACCCATTCTACTAAGTGAAGTATCCCAAGAATGGAAAAACAAGCACCACATGGACTCACCAGCAAATTGGTATTAACTGATCAACACTGAAGTGCACATATAGTAATAACACTCATCAGGCGTGGGGTAGATGGGAGGGGAAGAATGGGGTGGGGATATTCACACCTAATGGGTGCGGTGCACACTATCTGGGGAATGGAGGTGCTTGAAGCTCTGACTCGGGTGGGGCAAGTGCAATATACAGAACCTAAACATTTGTACCCCTGTAATATGCTGAAATAAAAAAATTTTTTTTTTTTGAGACAGAGTCTCACTTTGTTGCTAATTTTTTCTATATATGTATTAGTTGGCCAATTAATTTCTTTCTATTTATAGTAGAGACGGGGTCTCGCTCTTGCTCAGGCTGGTTTCGAACTCCTGACCTCGAGCAATCCGCCCACCTCGGCCTCCCAGAGTGCCAGGATTACAGGCGTGAGCCACCGCGCCCGGCCAAAAAAAAAATTTTTTTAAATAAAATAGATTGCTTTTATTGCCAGGCATGGTGGCTCATGCCTGTAATCCTAGCACTCTGGGAGGCCGAGGCGGGTGAATCGAGGCGGGTGAATCGCTCAAGGTCAGCCTGAGCAAGAGCGAGACCCCATCTCTACTAAAAAATAGAAAGAAATTAATTGGCCAACTAAAAATATGTAGGAAAAAAAAAATTAGCCGGGCATGGTGGCGCATGCCTGTAGTCCCAGCTACTCGGGGGGCTGAGGCAGGAGGATTGCTTGAGCCCAGGAGATGGAGGTTGCTGTGAGCTAGGCTGACACCACGGCACTCTAGCCCAGGCAACAGTGAGACTCTGTCTCAAAAAAAATAAAATAGATTGCTTTTATTAAAAAAACAACAACAAAACAAAAACACAACAAACCTAAAGGAAGCCTCTTTACCTAATGACTGCAAAACCACAAAGTCTACTACACTCAGTGCAGCAAGACAATATCCCTGAGACAATCTCACATAGTCAGGGGTCCATTTAATATGGGCCACTCTGGGAAGCCACCCTGTACCTGACATCACTCTAAAAAGATGATATCCTAATGGACTCAAAGATTTTTGGCCCATCAGCCCAACCGGACTGAGAAATGAACACAACACAAGCTCACAGAAGCTTACATCAGTTTCACAGTCCCCCAACCTAGTCCAGAACCAAAAATTGTCCTGTGAAACCAGAAGTATTTGTCTGACACTTACAGGTGACATCTTCCGGATCAGATCATGGGCAACAACCAGCAGGTCCCGGTCCTTGGTCACCTTCCTCCGAAACTCAGCGATGTCCCCAGGGTGAAGCACCTCCAGCTGCTCTGCGGCCTCAATGACAGCCTCGATGCAGCTTCTCCACGAGCAAAGGGCGGGGATTCCTGGGGCCACTGCTGCACTGACACCAGTCCCGATGACCAGGAGCAGTTCCTGAGGCTGTTTCCGGATGAGGCTTTTTAAAAACTTTCTACTTAAAAACAAGGGAGGGAGAGAATAAAGTCAACAAAGAAGTATTGCAACATTAAGTCTGGAAATCTCTGTGAAGTTCAGGCCTTGTACCACATACACATACACACTCTGCCGCCTCTTTAATGGAAGATAGAGCCTGTGTATCATTCTTCTTTGCATATTGATTTTACATGTTCTACCCTCATTCCTCAAAGGATTTAGGACAGCAATGTCTCACTGATCTTTTTTTTTTTTTTTTTTTTTTTTGAGATAGAGTCTCACTCTGTTGCCCAGGCTAGAGTGCCATGGCTTCAGCCTAGCTCACAGCAACCTCAAACTCCTAGGCTCAGGCAATCTTCCTGCCTCAGCCTCCCAAGCAGCTGGGACTACAGGCATGTGCCCCCATGCCTGGCTTATTTTTTATATATATTTTAAGTTGTCCAGCTAATTTCTTTCGACTTTTTGTAGAGACAGGGTCTTGCTCTTGCTCAGACTGGTCTCGAACTCCTGAGCTCAAACGATCCACTCACCTTGGTCTCCCAGAGTGCTGGGATTACAGGCGTGAGCCACCGTGCCCAGCCCGTCTCATTGATCTTGAGTTGCCCACACTATTTTTTTTTTTTTTCCTACAGCAGCATGTGAAAGCCCACACTATTAAACACATGTTTAAGTGATATGTACTTGTGAACAAAAAGCTCAGCAATTTTAATTCCTTTGAAGCTGTAAACAGCTTGTAAATCCAAACTATGATGACAAAATAATCCCTGCTTGCAGTGACAGATAAGAAAACTGGCAAAATGCTGGTTTTCTGCCACCTACAAACACCAATCCATTCTATAGTAAGAATCCCCTTATAATAGATCACTTTACAGCATGCATAACCTGCTATCCATTTGTAGTCAAAGAATTCTTTCCTGCAAAGCATGACACTTTTTTTTCTTTTTCTTTGTAGTAGAGAATGAGGGCTCACTGTTGCTCAGGCTGGTGCTGAACTCCTGAGCTCAAGCTATCTTCCTGACTCAGCCTCCTTGAGAGCTAAGATCATAGGCGTGAGCTCAGCCTCCTTGAGAGCTAAGATCATAGAAGTGTCGCTCAGCAGACACTTCTAAAATCTTAGATGTGGTCGGGTAAGATAGCTCACACCTGTAATTCTAGCAGTCTGGGAGGCTGAGGCAGGAGGACTGCTTGAGCCCAGGAGTTTGAGACCAGCCTGAGCAAGAGCAAGACCCCCATCTCTATTAAAAATAGAAAAAGTTAGCCAGGCGTGGTAACACACACCTGTAGTCCCAACTACTCAGGAGGCTGAGGCAAGAAGATTACTTGAGCTCAGGAGTTTGAGACTGCTGTGAGCTAGGCTGATGCCAGGGTACTCTAGCTCCATGACAGAGTGAGACTCTGTCTCAAGAAAGAAAGAGAAAAAGAAATAGTAAGGGAAAGAGAAAGAAAAAATATTAGAAAAAATCTTAGACGTGATCCCTCTAATTACTTGTTTCTTGGGTTGGAGACCAGACTATGCCTGCTTCCTTGGGCAGAAAACTCCTTTTAGAATGTTCCTTATGCTGAAGCAGAGGGTGGTAAATGGCTCTTGAAATCCCCTCCTGACCCAGTGTTTCTATTCACTTTGACCTGTGTGGGTACTAAATAATACGTAAGTAGACTCACGGCAGATGCTATATGAAGTCAATAAACCCGCCTGAAGGGACAGTTGACTTTATTTACCTTGATTTTTGTTCACTTCTATTTGTTGTCTTTTCCACTGAATCCATCTGTGAATCCTAAAGAGAAAAATTAGTCAGAAATGACTTCTATTTCCCAAATAAAATTTCTTTTATTAGTGCCCTGGAAGAGCATCAAGGCTAGAATTAAAATTGGAGGCCTTAGATCTTTATTTAAATTAGAATACCTGAAACATGCCATATACGAATAGCATACCTCCACAGTATTTCCTAAGCCACAATTCCTAATCTCATGTGGTTTACCAGGCCAGTCAGATTCTTATCGCTCTGCAAGCGACAGGAAAGGAAGGAAAACTAACATGCACAGCACAGGTGGTCCAGCGGGCTCCACACTGGGGGTTTCCATGCTGTCTCTCCGCCGACAACATTCCGGAAGGGCTTCCAGTGGACACGAACACAAATGACTTATCACAGAGTCAAGGAAATGTCACGCGACATAACAAAGTAAAGCCAGGACGCAGTTTCCAGAGGAAGTGACGAGCTCCCCAAGGAACTGGGTGCTGGGTCTGGGGAGGACTCGGCCCTCCCAGCACCAGCACCAGCACCAGCACCACCCGACGTGCCCGTCCTCCCCTTGCTGTATGGAAATCCACCCTCAAGAAATCATCCAGGGAAAAAGGCAATTCTTCGCTTACGGAAAAACAGGGTCTCAAACCATCCAGCTCTCGATCACCAAGCTATCTCCATAGTCTACGATTTTTCCAAAATCACATTTTTCCCCACTTCTAGAACCAAGTTACTGTAGACCAGGAAAAATACAGAACAATACAATTTAAATAGCCTATATACTGCCTATGAGCAATAACTATTAACATTTATGTATTTCCCTCTAGATTTTTTATATTTTTTCCATCGTTTGAGGACATAGTTCATACCCTAATTTTCCACATTTATAATAAAAACATTTCCCTTATGTTATTAAAAACTATTCTTAACTGTGTGATGCACACACGGAACTCCATCTCATTGACCATCCTCATGCAAGACGTTAGTTTAGTGACTCTTGATAACAACCAGCTCGACACACAAAGCTTATTTGTTCTGAAATGATTTATTTAGGAGAAATTTCTGAGAAGAATTGCTAAGTTAAAGCATATAAAGTATCTTGGCACATTCTGCCAAACTGCTTTCCAGAAAAGTGGTCAGCAGAACACACAGACGCCCACTCTGTCACATCCTAACCAGCACTGACTGAAAACCACTGATTCTGTGCATGTGATTTTATCCCCAATTAGAATCAGGTCACCAAAAATAATTTTCTAGGTTAAGGAAACAGGCCTAATCAGTCCATAAGCATCAGGAGAGCTAAATGGGATCCTAAGGTTATCCCCCGAAAATGTACACAACGGTGTAAGTGCCGAAAATGTACACAATGGTGTAAGTGCATGCATACATTTTCCCCCAGGGAAAGGTGTTCGGAGCTTCCCTCAAACTCACAAAGATGTTTGTGACCTTTCCCTAAATGCTAAACCAGTCGACAGGCAGAAAAAATGAGGCTCCCCTATGCCTGCAGCCTGCCCGAGGGGAAAGGCTCACAGAACTAGAGCTAGGCTCGGCCCTAACCCTCACCACCTTCCTTCCCACCTTCCCGTGGAGTCACTAGCAGTGTCCTCAAAGATCAATGTTTTCTTGTGACAGTCTCACTATCGCCTGAGCTAGAGTAAAATGGCATGATCACAGCTCACTGCAGCCTCAAACTCCAGGGCTCAAGTGATCCTCTGGTCTCACTTCCCAAAATGATAGCACTACAGGCTTGAGCCACTACGCCCAGCCAGTTTTTGTTGTTTTTTAACCAATGTTTCCTAAGAAAAGTAACAAATATTGAGGTTCTTCACTATATAATTCCTCTACCATATAACATAAGCCCAAACTCTGGCCCTGAGATTTCAATGACTGACTTAACTGCTGACCAATTCTCAGTTTTATCAACTATAAAATATGGATTCTTGCTAACTGGCCAAGTTTCGAAGGCTCAGGAATCTCTCACATGAAGTGCTGTGGAAGTTCAAACTGCTGAGTCAAACGGCTCAGGCTCTGACCTGTCCGTGGGCTGCCCCACACTGCCCTCCCTTACCTCCTGCGGGGCAGAACTTGAGGAGCCCTTCCTGTTCAATCCCACTGGAAAGGTTATATAAGTGGCTCATCAGCTGACTAATCCAACTGCTCCCCATTCCTGCCCCCCAACATAAACCACATCGCTTCAAAATAGTGACTCCTTCCTGCCTGTGGGAAGGAATCATTTATGCCTGCCTTCTTAAGTATCTCAACCAGTGATTTAAGAAACCACATGCTCAAAATTGTTACCATGGTAAAGAACTTTAAAAATCTATATCTAGTTCTTTAAATTATTGTTCAACGGCTTTTGATTCTCCATATAAACATGATTAAAGTTACAAATTCAAAACCTAAATATTACATTTACACATCTGCAAAAACGTATCAACAAACTAAACTTCTGCTGGCATACTGAATTCCAAAATTAATGGATTTCAAAGTTTCCCAAAAGAACAAGATATTACTATTCGTAACAGAAAAAGTGAGAGCTTGTGCTCTCAGGTGGTTTGTTGCTGGCTTAGGTGCTCAAAAACTCTTCCTCAGCTGAACTTAAAGGTACGAGGCTGGCTCCTCGGACAGTTCTTCAAACGACGGCACAGGATCCACCCTCAACAGGCAGATGTGCCTCTAGACTTTAACACTGATGTGTACCTTTAAGGATCAAAGGAGCCAACATGGGAAGTACCTAATTATATCAAAATTCAGCCGGGCGCGGTGGCTCACGCCTGTAATCCTAGCACTTTGGGAGGCCGAGGTGGGCGGATCGCTCAAGGTCAGGAGTTCGAAACCAGCCTGAGCGAGACCCCGTCTCTACCAAAAATAGAAAGAAATTAATTGACCAACTAAAAATATATATACAAAAAATTAGCCAGGCATGGTGGCGCATGCCTATAGTCCCAGCTACTCGGGAGGCTGAGGCAGTAGGATCGCTGAGCCCAGGAGATTGAGGTTGCTGTGAGCCAGGCTGACGCCACGGCACTCACTCTAGCCTGGGCAACAAAGTGAGACTCTGTCTCAAAAAAAAAAAAAAAAAATTCAACGCAGTAACCCTGCAAGGATGAACTGCATAGTTGCCCATATTTAGACAGTTACAGCTCATTATCCCACTACATGTTTAAAGGCCTTACCTCACTTCCTGTTTTTCAGCAGCCTAAACATCAGAGCCAAATCTCACAATAACTTAGAAATTACCTCAAGTCTCTTCCTTGTTTTTAAACCAAGGTCAAAGTAGATTTCCAAAGCAATCAATACCTGATGCTAGAAGTTTCTGCAGCACAGCAAGCCTCTTGTGTTCTGCTCCCAATCTCAAACACCATTCCTCTAAGCCAATCAGATTCTGAACAATAGTAACAAAACCCTTTGGAGGCCTTTTAGACGCTGCATCTTTTGGTTTCCTTGGTGATTATGCCGTCATCACAGTTTGCAGGCCCAAAGCCAAATCATCGTAGCAACCCTTTTTTTTTTTCAAAGATCAGCATTTTTTTGAAAGCAAAACCAGGCCCCAAAGCAGATCCTTATAAGATCCTGTCTTTTTTATCGAAAACCATTAAAAATCTAACCAGGATGTTTTCTGCTTAGAATTCGAGATCATGAGTATTTTATGAACCAGCTAGAGCGGCTAGAGACTTGCTCTTTGAATCCCCAGCATCCAGTATTAAATAAATGTTCATCAAATTGATAAAACTTTTGGAAGGTTTTCTGTTTGGCTTTCTCAGTAGAGACAGGGTCTTGATATGTTGCCCAGGCTAGTTTCAAACTCCTGGTCATTAAACAAAGTTCATCAAACTGCATCCAATGCAAAATATTATCAACTACAAAAAGCAAACTTGTTATCTACAGCCAGCAAAGCAAAGGCTGCCCAGCCCTAAGCCATGATGATAGAATGTTAATGACCCACCCCAGCCCCAACGCGTCTCCTGCACCACACATCCAACGGGGGCAAGGCTGCCTTGGACTGCTCAGCGCCAGTTGGGCAGCCAGATGACTGCAACTGCTCGAGTGACCCCAGAGAGCTCAGCCCTGGCACCGAGCTCCAGAACTGGCTGTTGCTGTCATCTGAAACCCTGGTTACCACCACCGTTCTCCATTGCCACGAAGAGGAGTGGGAGTGGGGGAACACCAAAGTGCCAAGAAAAATGGAGTAGATCACTGCATGAAAGAACATCCATGAAGTTCTGAGGGGAAAGGGGAAATGTGTATCAAGAATAGTAATTATTGGCCAGGTGGCAGTGGCTCACACCTGTAATCCTAGCACTCTGAGAGGCCGAGGCGGGCAGATCACTCAAAGTCAGGAGTTTTGAGACCAGTCTGAGCAAGAGCAAGACCCCGTCTCTACTATAAATAGAAAGAAATTAATTGGCCAACTAAAAATATATAGAAAAAATTAGCCAGGCATGGCAGTGCATGCCTGTAGTCCCAGCTACTTAGGAGGCTGAGGCAGGAGGATCGCTTGAGCCCAGGAGTTGGAGGTTGCTGTGAGCGAGGCTGAAGCCACAGCACTCTAGCTCAGGCAACACAGTGAGACTGTCTCAAAAAAGAAAGAACAGTAATTATTAAAAGTGGCACAACAGGCCGGGCGCAGTGGCTCACGCCTGTAATCCTAACACTCTGGGAGGCTGAGGCGGGCGGATTGCTTGAGGTCAGGAATTTGAAACCAGCCTGAGCAAGAGCGAGACCCCGTCTCTACTATAAATAGAAAGAAATTAATTGGCCAACTTATATATATAGAAAAAATTACTCATGCAATACGTTGTCCAGCAATAGTCAAAAAAGAAAAAAGAAAAAAATGAGCCAGGCATGGTGGCGCATGCCTGTAGTCCAGCTACTCGGGAGGCTGAGGCAGCAGGATTGCTTGAGCCCAGGAGTTTGAGGTTGCTGTGAGCTAGGCTGACCCCACAGCACTCACTTTAGCCTGGGCAACAAAGCAAGACTCTATCTCAAAAAAAAAAAAAGAAAAGAAAAGAAAAAGAAGTGGCACAACAAAA